AAGCAGGCCGCTTTGATCAGGAGTGGGAGGTGGCTTTTCGGTGTCAGCTTCCTTTGCTGGTGAAGATGATCCAACTAGCATAACCTGATCTTCTGCGACCTGGCTAGCAAAAGGCTGAATCGGAGGGGAAGAGGGAAGAACAGCCTGCTGATGGGCGTGGTCTGTGACATCTACAGTTGCAAATGGGCTTGCTTGCGCGACTGCCGGAGCTTCCGTAACTGTGACTTCTTTCTCGACAGTGATTTGGGTCTCCTCCTCAACCTCAACGACCATCTCGGCATCCTCCATGGCGAAATCTTGCACATGTGGTGCTTTGATGACTACAACTTCGACAGACTCTTCGTGGCTCACTGACATGCTATCTGAGTCGACTTCGATGGTCTCGCTCGTCATTTCGACTTCAACTGCCTGCGACACCTGGTCCTCCTCGGTATGGGTTTCGGGCCGAGGAGTGGCCGCGTCCGCCATCTCCACGTCCCCATCGTCGCCATCTCCCATCTCCTCATCCGAGTCAAGTTGAATAGGTCTGGGGGTATCTTGTGACATGAATGAGACGTGCTCGGCATCGCTCACTTCCATCATGCTGGCTTCTCTGGACGCATGAACCATGTCTTCGAAGAGCTGATGTTGGATTGCTTCCATTTCATCAACCTCCTCCACGCGATCAGGTGTTTGCTCTCTTTCATCTGCAGGGGATGTAGTCGTAAACGATGCTTTCGGCTCAGCTTCACTGATGGTACCAACATTGCTGGTCTCCGCCCGCTCCTCATGGATGCTTATGGTTTCTTGCACGGTCTCTTCAAGAGCGTTAAGCGTCTTCGCCGAGCCCTGAGCTTCACCCTGGTCAGCTTGGGGCTCCTCTTTCTTGGGCTCATCAGCGGTCTCCGAGGTCTCCTTAACATCGCTTTTCTCAGCTTTGACCTCTTGAACATCTGGTTCGGTGTCCTTAACCTCTGAAACGTCAGTATCAGTCTCCTTGGCCTCAACGGTGCCTGTAGCCTCAGTAGCGACTGCCTTCTCGTCGACAATCTCGTCTTCTCCATATTTCGCGCTTTCATCCTTCTCTTCAACCTCCTGCTCAACCTTGATCTTCTTTTCCTCCTCCACTTCAAGAACGACCTCTTTCTCGTCGTCGTTTTCCACCTTTTTGAAGCCTTCCTCATCCACCACCGCTTTGTCCTCCTCGTGAATCTCTTCGAGCACCTCTTCCTCGCTTTCGCTTTCAACCGGCTCGAAATCATCATCCTCTTCCTCATGTCCCTCCTCCGCCTCTTCTTCTTCGTCTTCTTCCTCACTGGTCGTGTCAAGCAGATCCACAACCTGTTCACTGGCATCCTGTTCTTCCTCATCTCCTTTGTCTTCCTCCGCGATCTCATTATTCTCTTCCTCATCTTCGTCCAGCATCTCGTCCTCTGCTGACTCGGAATCTTCCTCAGGCCGCTCAAAAATCTGTGTATCACTCGAGAACCCTTCGAATGTCTCGTCATTGACTTCGGACTCAGAGTTGGGGTCTTTCTGTTGCTCTTTGAGTTGATCATCCGCCGTCTTGGGTAAAGCCTCTTCGCGGGGCTTCAAGTCAGATTCGTGCTTTTCGGCTTGTTTTGTCCATGGGGTATTGATGGTCTTGAGCGGCTCGGTGTTTTGCGCGGGACTCCCCAATTCACTGCTCGCATCCTTGGCATGTGCTACATCGGAAGTTGGAGCCACTTCAGCATCTGCGCGAGCAGCTGGTTGTGTATGAACGATCTCCATCGCAAACCCCAGTGGCTTTGCGTCCTCTTTGGGCTGAAGGTCATGGTCCATCTGATCTGCTGAAGATGATTTATCCAGGGGTCCGACCCATGATTTTGATGAATTTTCAGTAGGCTCCTCTTTTGCAACAGGTTGCTCAACGGTGGGTTCTTCCTTTTCGGCAGACAAAGATTTCTCCATTTGCTGAAGACTGGTGCCTTCTGTAGATGTAGGTGCGCGCACGGGTGGGGATGAATGGCGAATGCTCAGTTGTCGAGCCATCGTACGTCTGCTCACAGGGGGAGCTGGTTGAGGTGGTGGAGAAGCCTTATCTTCGTCCTCCGAATCTGACAACAAGCTGATAACGACTGGATCCGCCGACGCGGCAGCAGCTGGTGCGCGCCTGGGAAGGCGCTGACTGAGGTCAGGATCCTCGGACTCGTACGCATCCTCATCCTCATCCTCATCCTCATCATAACGCGTGCGCTCTCGCTCCCAGTCTTCGGCATAGTCGTCCATTTCATCGTCGTCATCATCGTAAACATCGTCCTCGCCATATCGCTCTGCTGCTTCCAGCTCAGCTTCTTCTTCATCCTGCCTGATTCCCTCATCATCGCTTTCGGGCTTGTTGTATTCGCGTTGATCATAGTCGCCTTCTTCGAGTTCCTCTCCGAATTCCTCATGTTCGACCTCGTCATCAACGCCAACGTCATCTTCATCGGCCTCGTTAAGCACCTCATCCTCCGCAAGCTCCTCAATCTCAGATCTCTCTGTATCTTGTTCAGATTCTGCTCGTGATTCGGACTCTTCAAAGCCAACAGGGTCTTCAGTGCCCGGACCGTAGCTGCTGAAGCCTTTCGGAACTTGATCTGGACGGGTCGGATCGGCGTGCAGCGAATGATCCTCGATGATAGCTGGGGTACCTTCGTTAAGAGCATCGGCACCAAAGTGACCACCCTCAATTGGGTTGTAATGCGGTGCCTGTGTTGCCATCTCCCACTGCCCTCGCTCAAAACTCTCCGTACCCGTCGGCACCGGTACTAGGTTATAATCCTGACCATGCTGAAGCTCGGGGTTACTCTGGGCAATGTTCATGTACGATTCCATGCCCTCGTACTTAGCGGGAACGGAATGATCGAGGTAAGAATCTGGATACGGTCCAGGTTCTGGTGCAGCGTGCATCTGTGGTTCTGGAACTCCTGATTGGGGAATTTGAGGTGTGTGCGAAAAACCAAACCTCACTTGGTTGGCGATACCATACTCGGACTCAACCGGAACACTAGCCGGTGTGCCAAACATGGAAAGGCCAGGTACCATGGGTTTTGAGGATCCAAATTGAGAGTTGGCCGCCGGGTGTGCTTGGCTGTCGGTATGTTGGTATGTATATGACTGGCTTGGGGCTCCATTTGCCATGCCAAGAATGTGAGAGGCAGCCTGGACCGCTTCTGTCTCTTGGAGCGCGGTATCCGTTGATGTCTCCTGAGTTTCCATATCCACCTTCTCCCAGATGGCCGGGCGTGGACTGGCTTCCAACTTTTCTGCTGACGCCGGCCCGGATGCCGCCGGTAGACTCGGCGTCATCTCAGATTCAACGGTCTGGCTAGCTCCATCCGTCATCTTGGGTTTTGGTGCAGGCGCTTCTTCTGTGACCGTATCTTCTTCCATAGCATCGCCATCCGGTGACTGTGACTGGCTCACTGGGTCCTCCTCGGGCATAATTTCCGGTTCGGGAGTCGGAGATTTACTGGAGTATCTCCATGTGTTGCTCTTCCGCGCAAAGCGTGATCGCTTGCGACCTTTGCCCTTGATGCCACCATCCTCCTCAAATATGTCCAGTCCGTCGTCGAAAAGGGAGCCGTATGAAATTCTAGCCCTCTTGATGAAAGCAGGCGACGGGTATTCGTTCAAGGCAATATCTGGGACCTGTCGGATAGCGGATAGCTTGTCGAACAAAGCCGGTTCAGGCTCATTTACGGTCTGTTCCAGCTGCTGTATGGCTGATGGTTCTGGCAGCTCATTCGGCAACTCGGTTTGTCTGCTATCGACGTTGATGTGTTTCGGTTCGTCGGATCCGTTCAGCTTCACCTGGAGCACCAGCCTTCGGTTGAACTGCAACTGCCAGTCAACTCGAGCTCCAAGAATCCGCCCGGGGGACTCCTCCTTTGCCCACTCGACACCGTCGAGACTGAGCAGCACCTCATCGCAAGCTCCCAATCCGCACTCGGACACAGCCTTTGCGCTGGGTCCATGGAGCTGCACCCGCACTTGACCCTTGGTTCGACGGAGGCGCACATCGGGCTCGGCGAGTAGGAAAGCGAGAGTATGGGTGACCCGGTTATAAGGCCATGTGATGGTGACTTCGCCTCGAACACTTCGCGAGTTCTGGTCTGAGAGTTCTGGGTCCAGTTGCGCAATCGGCGTGACTGTCCGCGATTCGAGAGCCGTAACGGCTACACCATCGATCGCATCGGCCGATGCCATTTTCGTGCGAGTCGAATTGGCCGGGGCCAGAAATTTCGTGTCTCCCTCTAGGAAAGGTCGGAAGAGTCAAGACGATTATGTCATTAAGAGTGAAGCCCGTCGCGAAGCCAGCGCGCAGGGTGTTGCAGCAGGTACAGCGTGGTGTAGGTAAGGTATAGGCAGATCTGACAGCTCGTTCGGCGCTAGGATCAGTGACAGTGTGACAGGGCCAACAAGGTGCCTCAGACGAAAAAGAAAGATTGCTGATTCCCTTGTTGTCAGATGGAAATCAACCAAGAAAGACAACACAACAGCCGTGAGCAAAGACTCCCGCAGTTCAATTTTACATCCAGACAAGATGCTTAGGTAGTCGACAGGATCTCACGTAGGTAACCTCAACTAAACGGCGGGAAAAGAGGGAAGAGTGTGGACGGACGGGGGCATCCCAGGTGATGATGAGGTGACAGACAGCTGCAAAGAGCTGGGTAGGTAGGTACGCTGCCGTTTGCTAGGTAGGTAGGTCCAGTTGGTGATGCAATGAAAGCTTCCCTTCCCCCAGGCGCCAGAAACATCGGTGCGACAGGGCAGGCAGTAAGTGTCGGTAGGTCTCGCGTGCCACAGCTCCAGCGTGGACTTGCCGTTTGCATCGTCCGTCTCAAAAGGGAAGGCGGTGGAACCTCAAGCCCAGCAGACACTGACAACTTAGCTCTCACTAACAATTTCCATCCTCCCTCGGGCTTGGCGCTTGGCGCAACAATGGGAGGAGGTCAGTGCGTGATTTAATCCTTGTCCCCGTCAGTCAACATCACCATACACTACAATCTCGTGATTGCCTCCCCATTCTTGGAACTCAAGTTTGATCCTTACCATCTGATTCTTCTGACATACACTACTAACTTGTTTACCATCTTTCTGATCTGCCATCACCACTTCAAACATCATGGGCTCACAAGAAAGGCGTTTCAATGTCAAAAAGATCGCCATTATTGGGGCTGGTCCCTCTGGTCTCGCTGCCGCCAAGTACCTGATCGCCCAAAAGGTCTTTGAAGACATTGTCATCTTTGAACGGCAAGACGAAGTGGGAGGGGCCTGGTACTACAGCAGGGAACCGACACACACCTTACATGTGCCTCAAGTGAGCGCCTCCTGCCCTTCCGACCCTCCTCTTCATCCCGAGGGCAAGCCTCCCGTCTTCCCCTCGCCCATGTACGAGGTCTTGCACACCAACATCCCACGCCATCTGATGCAGTTTTCAGACAAGCCGTTCCCCGAAGATTCTCTCATCTTTCCTTCCCGTGAGCTGGTGCAGGAGTATTTGGTGGAGTATGCCAAAGACATCCGGCATCTTGTCAGGTTTTCAACCTTGGTTCAAGATGTCCGTCTAAGGCAGGATAGCGACGGCCGGGATCAGTGGGATGTGGATGCGCTGGCTCTGGAAACGGGCGAGGTCACCACTACTACCTATGATGCCGTTGTCGTGGCTTCGGGCCATTACTACACCACCTATCTTCCAGATGTCAAGAACATCGCCGAGTTCCACAAGGCGCATCCGGATGTCATCACACATTCCAAGCTGTACCGGACCCCCGAGCCCTTCGCAAACAAAAAAGTGATCGTTGTTGGCAATTCAGCGTCGGGCATTGATGTCGCGGCTCAGATCAGCCGCGTCAGCCAGCAGCCATTGCTTCTATCGGTCCATTCCGCTACACCACCGGCTCACTTGGAATGGATTCGCGCACAAGAAGTCCCGGCTATTGAAGAGTTTCTGGTGGAGGAACGAGGTGTAAGGTTCGCGGATGGACGGATCGAGAAGGACGTCGATGCTATCGTATACGCCACCGGCTACCTCTTCACCTTCCCTTTCCTGAAATCGATACAGCCCCCATTGGTAACCGACGGGCGCCGCGTGTATGGCCTATACAAAGACCTGATTTACATTGATCACCCAACAATTGTGTTCCCGGGGCTTCCCATCAAGGTTGTCCCCTTCCCCTTTACGGAAAGTCAGGCAGCGATTTTCTCCCGGACATGGGCGAACCTACTTCCGCTTCCCTCCGTGGAAGAAATGAAGAAGTGGGAAGACGAAGAGGCAGAGAAAAGGGGGCATGCTTTTCACGTTTGGCCCAAACTTGGCGATGCCAACTTTATCAATGAGGTTCATGACTGGATCAAAAAGTCGGGCACTGAAGGGAAGGAGCCGCCTTATTGGAACGGTGAGCTGATCTGGCAAAGAGGAATCTTCTTCGAGGCGAAGCTGCAGTTCGAGATTGATGGCCAAAAAGCCAAGTCCCTCGAGGAGCTCGGTTTCAGGTATGAGCCTGAAGACAAAGAGCTCGCGAAGACGACGACGCCAACAAAGACTCTGCTGTGAATGGTTCGGTGAGGCCTAAATAGGAAATCTTCTGGAAGTTTTATGTCAATGAGTGAGACACGCAGTAGTGTACCACCTGCCCAACGGCGCGTGGCATTTGAGACACAAGTTCGTGTAAGACAAACAACGGGTTGATAAGTGCCACAAAGTCGAGTTAGTTGCTTGAGCATGAACGCCATCAATTTTCTATATCACTGGATAATTTTGCAACACCTTTAAATCATTCGGGAACCGCACTCGATCGTCAAAACGAACACCCATCAAAGAGAACAGCCACTTCGGAAGGTGGGGGGGATTGGCCATGATTGATCCGGGGAATCGGCACGATCCCCAGCCAAAAGGGCGGGCAGGGGCACGCCGGCGTGGCCTTGTCCTTTCTGGGAATGGAGGAATCAGGGAACAGGGGGGCAGGCCATCCATCTTTCGTTCTGGACTGTGAACTGTGGACAAACGAACTGATAACGGAGCCGCCAGAGGGCATGCTTCGCACTATCTGACTGGTTGTTTCTGGCCACCAACCTTTGACATGGCTCTTCCCACCGTAACCGTGAGGTTTGTAATCAACCATCTTTTCCTTGAACCTAACCCCCCAAAGTCGGAGCTATGAACCCATTCATAAACCCTTTCAATCCCCGAACAACCTCTATCTATCTTCCTAGAGAAAGGTCAAAGCTTTGCATCCAATGTCGAGGATAATCCCAATTATTCCTGGCTCAACAAGTCTGACAATGTCTGAGAGCTCAGTAGCTTATCGCGATGGTCCCCCACGTGGTGCCGATGGCAAGCCGTTGCCGCTCGACTTCACCCATCATCTTTCCGAGGTGACAAAGCGTCGCCAGGCGAGCCAGATGAAAAAGTACTATCGGTTCTTTCAGATTCCCGGAATCAAGAATCTTGCTGGCGGTTTGTCTCTTTCTCACTTCGTCATATTTATTGAACATTCTTTATCAGACCTCGAAACGCAGAACTTAAACCTGAAAACACTACTACAACACTTATCACAAAGTATTTAAGATAAGGAAACTAACATCATGATAAGGTCTACCAAACACCAAATTCTTCCCCTTTGAGACTCTCGAAGCCCAAACCGCAAAGCCCGAGAGATGGCAACCCACGCCGAACCACCCGGGAACCGACAAGGACAAAAAGAACCCGGCGGCAGAATCCGCTCACATCACCGTCCCCACGATCTCGGGTGAGGCCAACCCCGTGACGAAGGTGGACGTCGCCACAGCGTTGCAGTACGGTCAAGCAAACGGCTACCCTCCACTCCTTGACTGGGTTCGCAAGTTCACCCGCGATCACCTCCATCCGGATGCGCCCTACAGCGGCGGCCCGGATGTGATCCTCACCTGCGGCTCGACCGACGGCTTCGCCAAGACGCTCGAGATGTTCGTCAACCCCTGGATCGACGGGCTTAACGACCCCCGGGAGCGTCCGGGGTTGCTGTGCGAGACATTTGTCTATGGTAACATCCTCAGCCAGGCGGAACCGAAGGGCGTGCAGATTGTGCCGATCAAGGCGGATGAGAATGGTATGTTGGCTACGGGAGAGGGTGGGCTGGAGGATGTGTTGGCGAACTGGGATGTGTCGAAGGGGAAGAGGCCGCATTTGATGTATACTGTGACGTGAGTTTTCTTCTTCACTCATCATAGAACCTGCGGCACGAGAACTAACACACGCAACAGCCTCGGTCACAACCCAACCGGCTTCGTCATCCCCGTCTCCCGCCGCAAGGAAATCTACGCCATCTGCAGCCGCTACGACGTGATCATCGTCGAAGACGAGCCCTACTGGTACCTCCAATTCCCATCCGCCACCGCGGCCAACACGGCCAAGGCCAAGGCCAGCGGCCTGAAGCCCTCGCAACCCGAGCAAGGAGGAGAAATCTTCAAGCGCACCGTCTCAACGGGCTACCCCTTCCTCGACAGCCTCACCCCCTCCTACATCTCCATCGACGTCGACGGCCGCGTCATCCGCCTCGACACTTTTTCAAAAACCATCGCGCCCGGCTGCCGTCTTGGTTGGATCACCGCCCAGCCCGAGCTCATCGACCGGTTTAATCGCATCGCTGAGACTTCGACGCAGCAACCTTCGGGTTTTGTGCAGAGTCTAGTGGCAGAGTTGGTGATGGGGCCTCAGCCTGAAGCTCCCTCCTCCTCCTCCACCACCGCTACCACCTCGTCTTCCAGCGGCTGGTCCTTCTTCCGCTCTTCTTCTTCTTCTTCTTCCTCCTCCTCCCAGCCTCAACCAGCAAAACAAACCCCCTCCGGCGAAGGCTGGCAAATGACCGGCTGGGTCCGCTGGCTTGAAGGTCTCCGCGGGATGTACGAGCGCCGCATGAACCGGATGTGCACGATTCTCGACAGCGGTTCCTCTCTGATTTCCTCGTCTACCCGTCTGCGCGCCACCACCAATGGTTCCTCTGTTGGAACACCAGGCGACTGGGAAGTCATCACCACCACCCCGCTATACACCTACTCCTGGCCTGAGGGTGGTATGTTCATTTGGTTGCGGATGCACTTTGATACGCATCCGCTCTGGCAACACCCCCTTTTCTTTCCTAGCAATGGAGAGGGAGAGAAGACCAAGGTGATTGACGGCCCAACTATCTCCCTTGCGCTCATGCTGTTCCTCACTCTCAAACCGCACCTGGTTTTGGTTTCTGCGGGCAACATGTTCAGCGCCACATCCCAGATCAGGGAGGATGTCGGGTGGCAGTACTTCAGGTTGTGTTTTGCGGCGGTGAGCGAGGAGGACGTGGATAGCGGAGCGCAGAGGTTTGTGGATGGTGTGAGGGCGTTCTGGAAGATTACGGATGCGAGGGTGATTGAGAAGTTGGTGGAGCAAAAGGTTGATACTGAGGAGGTGGTGGCGAGGGTGATGGGACAGGAGGGGGTGAATAACCTTGGGGGTTGGTTGGGATGCTAGAAGCTGATCTGATAGGCTCTATGATGGGATTTAGACTGGTGTGACGAAGGAAGGATACAAATGTGTTTATGATTTTACGATAATTGGGACATCGCGAATTTGGTTGAATATGAGTCCCTTGAAACGAGTTTGCTGCGTATAGTCACATTGACACCAACCTGCAATTTAAGGCGACTAAAGCACTGACGCCAAGTGTATTTACTGTCCTACGCAGCTGGAAGATCGACATGTCACACAACAAGACGGGAAATCATGTAAACAAATGGGGTATTGAATCTACAAGGTCACTCGCTCAGTACCGAGATTGTGGTGAACAAAAGAAAAGGAAATCGTTTCGGTTTCAGAATTCATTGATGTGTGTATTGTGAACACATGCCTAATCCGTGACGCCGAATTCGCACCCACACCTTCCTGTCTTCCGTTTTGCCGTTAACTCCAAATTTACTCCTGGAGGAGGACCTTGAAGGTGGCGGGAACGCGCTGGGGCTTGCCCTCCTCCTTGATCTCGCCGAGCTTCTCCTTGGCGAAGGTAGCGGCGTAGGGGTTGAGGCGGAGGAGAACCTGCTTGTTGCGGAGAGGGTTCTTCTTCTGGACGTTGGAGCGCTTGGTCTTGGCGTCACCCTTGGGGGCGCGGAGGACGGACTGGATCTCAGAAGAGTTGATGAGGCGGGTAAGGTCGGCCTGGGCGACAACGTTGGCGGGAAGCTGGAAGCCCTTCTTGGACTCGTAGACGGCATCAAGCTCCTTGATGGCGGCAGAGGTCCAGACGATGAAGCGACCGAGGTGGCCACCGGGGGCGAGCTGGAGGAGGTTGAGGGCATCGACGGGGGAGGTCTCAACACCGGGGATGTTGCGGAAGCCCTTGATGAGGTCCTTGCCGTCGGTCTCGGCGGAGTAGACGACGAGGGGACCGCGACGCTGGCGGTGGCGGCGGTCACGGAGCTTGCCCTTACCGGCGCGAAGCTTCTTGGAAGCCTTGGCCTTCTGGACATCAGCACCAGCACCAACGGCCTTGAGGAGGGCAAGAGCGTTGGCGGTCTTGTTGACACCGGAGAAAGCAGCGGAGTCAACAACGAGGGGAACCTCGGGGACGGTAGAGACCTGGTGACCGCGGGCCATCAGGAGAGGAGCGGCAGCGGAGGCAGCAAGGGCAGAGGCAGTAGCGAAACGCCTGTAGGAAGACTATTGTTAGCCATCATGGTTTTCCTTTGGCGTTCCCCAACGATAGTTTTGATATCACGTACTTCTGGCCCTGGTTGACCTTGACGTGCCACTTGCGCCAGATCTTGGTGGGAGCGAACATGCGACCGGAACGGCACATGTTACCGAAAGCGGCCTGACCGGCGCGGTGAGTACCACCACCGGAGACACGGGGGATACGGGCAACAGCGCGACCTGTGTTGTGAGATCACGGTCAGCTCAAATGATCCTCCACATCATTGAAAATTTGCGTGTCGAAAATTTGCCCCCCAGTTCCAGTTTGTCGTGATCGTTTCGCGATATCGAGTTCTTCGCCCAACAAAAAATCTCGAATCCTTCCATCGATCGTCTTGCCGTTTTCGACCCATTCCATGGCCTTCGTGTAATTCCAAAATCGCGTCTGGGTGTTCACTAACCAGTGCCCCAGGACTCAGCAGAGGTCTGGTGACCAGCCTTCTCGCTGACGGAGTACGGCTGGCGCTTGTTCTTGGCCATGCCGGTGTGGACGTGCTTGACGATATCCGGGCGGATGGGAGCACCGAAGACCTTGGGGAGGACCTCGGTGGTGCCGGTGGCCTTGCCATCGGCGCCGATGATGGTGACGGTCGGTCTGGAGGCCATTGTGTCCGCTGTTGGTTTGGTGAAAAGTTTCAAAAGTTAGTGACGAGACTCCTGACAAAATTTGCCTTCTTTTTCAAACAGCGATAATTTCTGCAAGAATCCGGCTCCGTCAAGGGATCGTGAGGGCGCTTCCGACGTACCTGTATCTGTGCTCCTGACAGGAAGTTGGGGGATGCGAAAAAAGATCAAGACCGGCGGAGACCCAATTGAAATTTTGGATATTTCGCTGTCGAAAGTGCGCGCGTGGGGCCGCCTGGGGCGCACTGGCAGACCCTAACAGCCGCTAGCTCCAGATTGGGCAGGAAGGTGGCTCTTTTACAGCTGGCTGACCCCGCGGCAGCTGGCGAGACTGGGGTGCTACCTGACATTTCTTGGCAATTTGATATCGCCAGACCAGCTTCCCAACGTCATCAACCTCAACTTGAACTCGACAAGATGGACGATATTTGGGAATACACTCGAGCGCACTTTCAATGAGAAAGCCGAAGCTGCAGCGCGTTGTGGAGTTTCTATCTCACCGAGAACGATGTCTTGAGACGATGAATCTAAGCTAGAACGCGATCACTCAGCAGCTTATCGCAGGTCTTATTAGAGAACAATACAACAAGGAGCTCACTCTTGGCCCGAGACCCTGAGGAAGAGGGCAGCTCGTTCACTATCGAAGCTCATATTTTCGCTCCCAGCTCACTGCCGGTCCCGGTCAAGTTTATTCAGCAACAGCCATCCACCCGACCAGACACAAACAATATCCCGACTACTGCTGCGGATGACTTCCCAGACACGGCCCCGTGCCGTTAGTCCAGACGATGCCTGATTCGTGATATTTGAGGCACAGCGTCTTGATACTCCCTCTCTTCAATGTTGTAGTATCGAGATCTGAGAACCTGAGATTATCATATGGCGCCGCGGCGCTGCAATGGAAGCCCGCAGCCACGTCATATCGGGTGGTTCCTGCTATGTTCTCCCAGCAGACGTCGGTGGTGGGGATGCGGGAGGAGTCGCAATTTGGGTGGGAGTTTGTTCGAGTGTTGTTGTCGATGAGCAGTTAGGACACATGTCAAAAATTCTAGAGACTGGAAAAGGAAGGGAAGGGAGGGGAAGAGAAAAGAAAGCAATGAGTGAGGCGCACGGACAAGTACAAGAGGTAACGTATATGGGCTGGTTGACGTTGTCAAAGTGAATGGTGCAAAAAGTGACATCCCGCACATATCCACGGCTGGAATAAGTCTTCATCCAAGCGGCGTTGCTGCTATCGTGGAGCTCGACGTTCTCGAAGACGACGTTTTCGACATAGTCAGCCAGGTTGTCCGGCGTTGCTTCCTATGCTGCCGATGCACATCCCTTCAGACATGTAGCAGGTGATGTTGCTGATGCGGATATTGGAACTGTTGCCCTTGACTGAAACACAATCCTGTTGCCGGTGCAAGCAAAGCATAGGCCAGCCTTCCAGAACTTCTGTCATGCCCCTCTCTTGAGACTCAGGGGCAAGTAAACATCCCCGCCTACTAACCCGTCCGATTCTTAGTCCTCACCTCCCCCCCTAAATCTTACGTGTTAACCCCATCTGTATTCACCGCCTTCCACTTCGTGCTACTAGTAGTGTTCATATCTAAATTCGACAGCGTCACATTCTCGGCTCTACAAATCGTCAAACTACAGTAATTGTGAAAAAAGACTACTGTCCCCCCTTACCCCCGTTGGATATGTAGGGGAGAGGGACAGTACAGTTTTTTTTGACTGTGATTTTAGTTAGTCGCCCCTTGCTAGTTCGCATCTTTTGGTTTTGGTCGATCCAGGTTTGGCCTTGGCCGTCAAAGAGCGCACTACCACTTCCCGCTGGATCTGGAGACGTGTCTGGGGGGTATCTGGGGAGGGGGAGGAGAAGCAGCCGAGTATGGTCATGTCTTTACCGTCTAGAGAGAGGTCCAGTAGAATAAGTTGTCGGCTGATCAAGGTGCCGCGGATGTAGATGGTTACGTTTGACAGGTCGGTGGTGTTCATTAATCGGCGGATGTGGTGAGTTCTGGGTTGGAGAGGAACAAGGGAGTTGCGGGAGCAGGGGCAGGAGAGCCGGAGGCGGGATTGATCCCCATACTAGTGATTGGTCACCGATATCTCGCTTTGATGTAGGTGTGAGGTTCATGTTCTTCTCTACGGTAACAACTTGGGCGGTTGTGACGATGCAGGTTGAGCCCTCTTCGACTACGGCGGCCGAGGCGGCGATGATGAGGAGTGTGAGAGACAGGTAGGTGGAGGCTAGAAGACGCATCTTGCTGCTTGTGGTCACGAGTAGCAGGGGCCGGAGGTCAGATCTAAGGCCACACATGTACTGAGCGTTGGATCCTCGTGGGCGCTTTCGCTTTTCAAATATGCTCCTTGCTTTGATGTCCTCCACTACCTTGTCTAACCTATCCTTTTTGACGCCTTACGGGATGGACCCCAAGCTACCATGGTATCATAAAAGTAGTATCATCCGGCAAATCTCACTGTTACTTTTACCTTCTCGCTCATGTCCATCATGATCCATCACTGCCATGTTATGGACCTCTTAAACACTCCCTGTTTACCACATATTCAACCCTTCCAGTACAAACACAGCTTTGTCTATCCTTCTCCCTAAACCCCTAGTCTTGCCGCAGCATACCCTTTCCTTACCACACACCTCTAGACACGGGTGTCAATAAACTTCCCAGTCTTTCTATATATTTGCCGTCAAGATAACCAAAATCATTGAGCCGGCATGCCTCGCGGAACTCTTCCCGCATGCGTTCGCTAGAGAGCTGACAGGAGGCTATTGACTTGGATACAAGTCTCTCGGGGAGGAAGTTCCAAGGGATATCGCTCCTGCGATCGTCGGCGTCAAGCATAGGCTTGACCACTTCTCTGTAGCATTCCTCACACACTGTGAATTTGGGGAGAAAATTCATGGTATGCCAATAGGCGCCAACGAGGGCCTGGTCTTTTGGGCACGGCGGGCATTCTTTGACTCTAGCGATTCGGCGCAGTCTGTTCGCGAGATCACGAATGTCGGGTGCGGCTTGGCGGCTGAGTGCGTAATCCGAAGTCATCTCGAAAAGGTCGAAGTATTCTATGAATCTTTTCCTGCCAGGTGCGTAGTGAAGTTGGCAATAGGCTATGAATGGCTCTGGGCTTATCGGATATAGCGTATTGGCCAGGTTCGGCAACACTGCCTCCAGCATCTTCACACAGCCCACGCAGACTTCGAAAAGGGGCACAAAGTCCCCTTTATACGAATCCCACATCCCGTACCACTTGCGGGCTGTCTCCTGAGGTCCACTGCATGGCGGATGACGCCCTGAAACCGTAGCTACGTTTCGTATGAGTTGCAGGTCTGGCAAGCGTTGCTTGAGTGTCATTAAATATGCCATGCGGTACCAGAAAGAAGAGCCAAGGTGACACAAAACAGGCTGGTCGGGTCGTAAGGATGTGGCGACGAACTCGAGTCTGAACTGGCTATTGGCAAAGAGCTCCGAGTGGCAATGAGGACATACCAAGAAATTCTCGGCCCCGCGAAGGATCCAAAAGCGGTCGCCTGGATTTCTACTGTACGGTAAACCAGGAATTTGCCAGGGGCAGTCGGGCAGTGGAGGTGTTAGCCCCTGTTGGACCTCCTCTGAATATTTCCGGAAGGAGAGGATCGGTCTGGCGCTTGGAGCTCTACGGCCCGCAGGTTCGAATGGATTCTGATCCCAGAAAGATGCTGATGGTCTGGTGCTGACGAGATCTTGTCGTGTAAGAGATGGAGATGCCAAGGGTGAAGAGACTTTCGCAAGCGCATTGCTCCCATTTGAAGAATGATAACCCTGCACAGACAAAACTGGAGAGCTGTTGGAATAGGGATTTGTACCCATCGTCCGCGAACGAGCCCGCCGCCTGGTCCTCGGACTGCTCTCATCTTCTCTCTGGGGTACCAGTCTACCGTTAGGAGGGGAAGACGTCAAAGAGTAGGTACCGGCCCTACCCCTCCTGTAATCCCCCTCAGCCGAGAATGTAGCGCTTCTCGAGCTTCCTGGATCACTAGCCTCCGAGAACTGGTCCTGCTGTCTCAGTGCAAGAGCGGAAGGATGAGGTACCACATCTTGGGACTCTGAACCAATATCCACTGCGCCCAAACGATGTTTCAGGGCCATCAGTGAAGCGTCTTCTTCGACCGCAGGGCGGAACGGCTGGGGCTGTTCATGGTGGTCTAACTGTTGATAACGAGGATCATCACCGATTGGATATTCTCTGCGATCACGAGGGGCAGCCATGGAGTTGCGACGCCTTCTGTTAGTAGCAGACTGACTTGGCATCCTCTTCCGTTCTGTAACTGAAGGATACGGTGGCGGGCTCTCTTTGCGGCTTGTCCTCGGCGGTGAAGACTTTCTGGTCAGATCATGATCGGGGATGACAACTTCCTGTACCATGAATGACATGGCGTCATCTGCGTCATTATATCGGTACATCGATAGCGGAGCTATTCCAGGTCCTTCAAGCTCAAGGGATCTGGAGTCGATTCGAGGCACGTCAGGTGTTGAGACCATGCGCTCGTGACGCGGTCGGCCTGGTGTTTGTGGAGGAGACAAATGGTATGCCTGCCTACTATTTGACGGGGTAATATGAGCACCATGCTTGGATTTTGAGCGACGATGGGAAACTCCGTCGGCTGCTTGGTTCAAGTCATAATACGCACGCTCCCTACCACCCGCCGTTTGGGTGACGACGCTAGCAGAAAATTCGCTTGCTCCTGGGTTAACTTTGTCAGGAGAATCAGCAGTGATTTCAAAGTCTTGATCGTGAAGTGGTCGATGTCGGGGTTTCCGACTGTTTGATCGCTTGATAGGAGACTCCTTAGCATCCTGGTCGGTAGGCCGCTCTCTGTATCTCCGGCTACTTGATCGCTTGATAGAAGTATCCGCAGAGTCTTGGACGTCAGGAGGAATCTCTGGGCGCCGACGGCTGCTTGCTCGCTTCAAAGATGCTTTCTTGGTATCCTCTTCATCAACACATGCTTCTGGGCGCCTGCGGCTGCCTGATCGTTTGATACGAGCCGCTTTGCCATCATCCTGATGGACAGGAGACTTCTCTGGGCTTTGTCGGTCACTCGGTGGTTCATTGGGAGCGTCCTTGCTGTCTGGTTCTTGAACGTGGGTATCCAACCGTGGCAGATCCTGATGGCTCTTTCGCTTTGCGAGTTCCGGTTCTTTCTTTTCCTCTTGCTTGTCTCCATCTTTTATCTCATCTGAAGGAACGAGAACAAACTTCTTGCAATCATTGGTCTCCCCTATTGGGGCTGTGTCAGTAGAGGTAACGGGTGGTGTTGTCTCAACAATGCTAGGTGCTGGTTCGCTCTCTTTTCCGGCCCCTGGGCCCGTGACAACCACGAAGCGGCGCTCTGGATTATTTTCCAAAACCGGCTCCATAAGGATTAACTGATCAATTTCTCCTCGATTGGGAGGTTCATCCTCATAAGAACTAATGACCGACGGACTTCCATATTCCTTGGCTAGAGAATCCGCCTCGTCTTCAACAGTAGGCGGGGGCAATTGCTGGATGCGTCGTCGTTCCAAGGGTTTGTCAATGTGAATATCCAGCTCGGAGAGCGGATCGGTACGACGGGGAGTTCGAGAATAGCTGCAGGTCCAATCAGATCAGCATATGGCCAAGTTGATACTTGGGCTCCTGGACAGACTCACGGGTTCTGACTCTTTGAGCGCGAGGTCCTCCATGATCCCGTCTGAAGGAGCGCGCTGATAGCGTCCATCCCAACCATGCTTGGGCGTTGTCAAGAGTGCACTTCGGTCAACAGTTTATGGATATATCTCGTATCATCGTACGCCTACGTGGCGTTTGGAAGAGGTGCTGATGAGATATCGCAGCACACGAGCGGCCTCGAGGGCTCCCAGAGGCAGGTTAGACGGTTGAACGCCTGGGGGAGCTTCTGTGTCGAAATCAGTTAATGTTGGGCGAACGAGACGCACGCGAACCGTAGCACAGCTTCTTTTCTAATTCGAGGAGACACTCGTCGCTTGGAGTACACATATACTGAGGTACAGCACTGGCGTCGGGCAACAGTGAGCAGCAGTGAGGATCAGTGATCAAAAGTAGACAGAGGGGTGGTGGGGGCGGTTTGGAATCTTGATGAGTCGATTCAGCTGCTCTGTTTCTCCCTAGTTCTTCACGATCTTCCGCGGTTAATCTCGGGCTGCAGCATGAGTTCAGGTACGGGAAGGATGGCCAATGACGGATGCTGGAATGTGGATGTGAGGTAAAAACTGAAGGATGTTGGCGTCAGGTATTCAGTTGGGCTGAGCGGCGCAATATTGGGACGGGCCAAATCCGAATGTCTAGCTCTCTTGGGAGCTGAGAATGAAAGGGAGAAGAAAACACAGTGAATTGGCAAGAAGGAGGCTTGTCTCTTTTTCCTACCACGGTCGGGGTCGACACAGGGCTCGGTGTATAAGCCTTCGCGACCGTCACGAGGTGTTGAGTGAGAGATTGTTGGGCTGGGCATGACATGCTTGAGGAACCTGAATTCCCAAGGAAGTAATCACCGGAGTGAGGGGTATTCGCTGCAGGTTTCTCACTAACACACGTAAGCTCAAGGGGAAGGCACCAAAACCGGTTGTTGCCGCCTGGGGTCCATGGAGATGGCGGGAGGCCTGGCGCTACGATTGCCTGATGAGGAATTTGGTGTTGTTACGAATTCGGATTATCAAAGAGAAAAGAGGTCTGGACTTTATCAGCTTCATGTTTGTCTCCTCTTTTTTAGATCATTGCTTCGTTTTCGTTCTTCTGGACTTTTCTTCGTGGTGTTTGTGCGAAATGAGAGAGCAAACAAAACTCAATTATCGTGGTGTTAGGGAGGTACGGCGACGTCGAATGTGACACAACCGCATTGGGGCAGCTAGATCTCCCTTGGAGTCAGGGCCCGATTGTCTCAACTCCACGGGATGCGACATCAGCGGGACCAAGTTAGTTCCGTTGGACTTCAATGATAGCCCGACTTTAGCCTTTCAGCTTTTCAGGCTGTGAAATCTCTCTTCCGGCCAACTATGTCGCCCGCTGTTGTTGAGAAACGGCTTTGACTTATCGGATGAACCCTTGAAAACATGCCAGTATATCGGATGAACACCGTCTGGCAAACTCCAGGTGAACCTCAGAGTAAATTGCCAAACAAGGTTGAGGAACAAGCTCTTGTGTCGTTCCAGGGCTGGGGGCACTTGTATTCATTGTCATGCCCTCTGGAATCCCTTTCCAAAAGAAAAGAAGACCGCCATACCACGAAGCCCAGATATGCATCCATCTATCTGATATGACAAGCTGATGCCGTGTTCACTTTCGGCGCTTCGGTCACGTCTTCGATTTGAATAAAATCATGCATGTGGATCTCCATATCTCGCATTACAAAGTCGCTGAATCGACATTGAGTTACCCCCAGATATTCGAGAAGACATGCTTCATATGTTGAAGAAGAGTTAAAGTGCTTCTGGGAAGCAGCTGAGGGCGAACTATGCCACAGTAGGTGCATATAATGGGGCTGTTATTCGGTTAAATGAATTCGGGGACCTTGCGGACTGCCCTTGCTCCCTGGGTCCCGTCTCCCCCCGCACCACGTCAGGTACGTACCTCCACCACAGGCGTGCCGCTTCCCGCAGCTTCACTTTTGGGGAAACTCTTCTTCCTTTCGTTGCGACGAGGCACCGCCAGCAACCGCACATCAAGAGACCGCCGCCCCGGCGAACCGACTGTGCCAATGGACGTTCTCCGAACGGCTTCAGCTCGCCGTACTTTCAAATGGCAAGCTGCCGGCATCCTGGCGAGGACTAGCTGGGTCTGCCGGTCATGCCGCAGCCAGTTTGTCGCGCCCAAAGCTGCACGACGGACCCTCGCGACGTCGACGACCACCACTACCCCCACGGCGCCAGACAATAAGCCCTTCTATGTCACAACGCCAATCTTCTACGTCAATGCCTGTACGTGAAGGAAGAACCACAATTGTTCGAGCTCGGGAGCATGCGGCATGCTAAACACCCCTCGCAGCGCCACATGTCGGCCACATGTACTCGATGGTTCTGGGAGATGTGTTGAAGCGATGGCAGACACTCAAGGGCAACCAGGCCATCCTGTGTACAGGAACCGACGAGCACGGGACAAAGGTGCAGCGCGCTGCCATCGCCAACGATATGGATACGAAGCAGTTTTGCGACTTGAACTCGGCAAAGTTCCAGGAACTAGCTGCCGCATGCCGCATCGACTACGACCGATTCATGCGTACTACCGATCAAGACCACGTCGAAGCCGTTAAACACTTTTGGCTCCTACTGAAAGAGAAGGGGCTGATCTACGAGGCCAAGCATGAAGGCTGGTACTGCGTCAGCGACGAATGCTTCTACCCCGAATCCCAGCTGGAGAAGAGGCAAGACCCCTTCACGGGCGAGGTCTATGTGGCATCCATCGAGTCTGGAAACAAGGTGGAATGGATCGAGGAAAAGAACTACCACTTCCGCATGACCGCTTTGAAGGACCAATTGCTCGAATTTTACAAGAACAACCCCGACTGGATTGTCCCTCAGACTCGCATGAACCAAGTCGTGGACTGGGTTACAAACAACTTGGAGGATCTCTCGATCTCGAGGCCCGTGTCTCGGCTGAGCTGGGGTATCCGTGTCCCCGACGACGAGAGCCAGACCATATACGTTTGGGTTGACGCCCTGATCAACTATATCACCATGGCTGGCTACCCCTACTGGCCTCCAGGACGGGAGCACCTGGGCGGCTGGCCGGTGGACGTTCACGTCATTGGCAAGGATATTCTTCGCTTCCACTGCATCTACTGGCCTGCTCTGCTTCTGGCTTTGGATCTTCCTCTGCCCAAGAGGATATTGAGCCACGCGCATTGGACCATGGAAAAGAAGAAGATGTCCAAGTCGATCGGCAACGTCGTGAACCCATTTTACGCCATGGAGCGCTTTGGTATCGATACCATGCGATTCTACATGATCCATAACGGCGGAATTGCCAATGACGCAGACTATAGCAACGACTGGCTCACTGTCGAGTATAAGAAGCACCTGCAAAACGGCGTAGGAAACCTCAGCGCACGTGTAACAAGACCCAAGCAGTGGAGTTTGCGTAGAGCGGTCCAGTCGTATCAAGATGGAACCATGCTGCTCCAGTCGACGGGGGAACAGATTAACGATTCTTGCGTTGAACACATTACCCGGCTTGACAAGCTTGCGTCAACTGTCGATTATGAAATGCTGCAGCTCAACCCGAGCCATGCCCTGCAGAAGATCATGGGCCTTATTGGTGAGGTAGGTTGACGGTGCCAGTTCTTTGCTCCAGACACCGTGAATCAGTTACTGATCATCATCTCAGACCAATGCCTTCATCTCCAACGCGGAACCCTGGGTCATAGTCAAGAAGCAGGACTCTGAGGCCTTGGTCGACCGGATTATACTCACGGCAGGCGAGAGTCTCAGGATTGCTGGTATCCTCCTTCAGCCATTTATGCCTGACAAGGCCGCCCAGCTTCTGGATCTCCTGGGAGTCGAAAACCACAACAGGACATTCCATCATGCCAGGCCACTCGTTGATGCAACATATGGCACTGCTTTCAGGACATTTGGAAAAGAAGGCATTTTCCCTCCTCCTATTTTGGACGATATCAAGGGCATGGGGCCCGACGCTGGTGGTAAGAAGCATAGCTCCGGCAACAAGCCCAGCTCAGGAAACAAGAAACCCACAGCATAAAAAAGTCTTGTAAGCAAGATTTGGTTTGCCAGTCCCAGAACGTGTGGCCTGTTGAGTGTTCTTTTCCGTTATGCCTGATTCAGTCTGGCCTCTTCGGCGAACTCTCTGGTGCTCACGGGCTGTATTATAGCCTTCCTCTTTATAGCTCGAGATACCCTGCTAGAACTCAGATGTACAAGTATGTGAGCATCAGTTGACTGCGATCTATGTTCATGTCATGTTATATCAAGTTGTCAAAGAGGTCGCCAGAAACCCTTCCGGGGGGCCAAGCCACAAGAGAAGCCCATGTTACCACTATAACCCACTATAACGGGGCTTAACGGGCATTACGAAATTTACAGTTCAAAGGGTGGGTATTTTACCTGAATAATGTTACTTTCAAAACACATCGCGCGACTCGTTGAAGGAACGCCTTCAACCCAGATACATACCTCACTCCTAAAATCTGCTTGTCCTCCACAAAGCCGCTCACGAGGCATACCAGTTACCATGAAGCTTAACGAATCTTCTGGTAAGAAAATATTCCTTGCCTTCCGCAATTTCACCCTATTCTCCGCCTTTCACTCGCCTCGCCCTATTCTGTAGCTTGGTAACGCTAGACAGGTTGATGCTAACCTGAACCAAACAGCTGTTTCCACTACACGAGCTCTTCTTGTCCCATATGAGAGCAGACATGTACCCACGTATCATCAGTGGATGGAGGATTCAGTGAGACATATATTGATGGCGATATGTCATCGTCAACACGTTGGAGAGCATATGCTAACGACAGACTAGGCAATCCAAGAAGCAACCGCCTCGGAACCTTTAACTCTGGAGGAAGAGTACGAGAACCAGCAATCATGGCGCTCCTCCCACGACAAACTGACCTTCATCATCTGCCAACCCGTCACTGATAATTCAGCGCCATCCGTACATGCCGGCCAGGTGGATTCTCCAGAAAAGATGATTGGCGATGTCAACCTATTCCTCTATCCCAACGACGACGAGGAGGAGCAAGCCGATGATCGGTTCCAATGCATTGGTGAAGTCGATATCATGATTGCTTCCCACGACCACCGTGGCAAGGGCCTGGGAAGGACGGTGGTGTCAGGCTTCTTGCAGTACATCTCCCGCAACCTGGAGGAAATCCTGCATGAGTACTACACCAGCGAGAGAGAGCAAGCCGGTACTGCCACTAACAGTCCGATGCTCAAACCCCGACTCAGGATGCTCATGGCCAAGATCAACAAAGACAACAGCAGGAGCATTGCCCTTTTTAAAAGCCTCGGGTTTGAGCAGGAGGGCGATGTCAACTACTTTGGAGAGCTCAAGCTGGTTCTTCGTGACCTTGGTGCGTATGCAACGGCGAACGTCCCTGAAGGTTATGCGGAATTGGTCTATGAAAGGGAAGACTGAAGACTTAATCGAGACGACTTAATCTGATTCCACTCGCTGATGAGTGGTCAAGGTTGCCATTCAGACCGCAAAGTGACCTACATGAGGAAAAGCACCGATTGACACAACCAAAGAGAGACCCATTAACGCCCCATATCGTGCTTTTTGCTTTTCTTCCATCCATCCATCCATCCACCCATAAACCGTTTGGTTACCCTCAACATCAAGCCCAGACAATTTCCGGCCCATACTTCTCCCTATACGCCTTCAACACGTCCACACTAACATGACTTCCACCACAAACCACCATAACAACGTTAACATTCCGCCACTCCTCGTCACTCAACCCCTTCCCAAGATACCTCCTCAAATCCCCATTATACGCCGTTGCCAACGTCGCGCCACAGCTTACCTCCACCAACATCCGATGCTCATCCGCAAACCTGACACTCGCCATGGCCGCCTCCGCATCCGTCACCGTCGCGCTGACCAAGTTCTCCCCGCCAACCATCTGGCTCCACTCCCACGTCTTCTTCGAGACTTGCACCGCGCCCAAGCTCGACGCAATGCTCGTGATCTGCTTCATCTTGACCAGCTCGCCCGCCTTGACTGACTGGTTGAAACTATCGGCGCCGACTGTTTCGATCGCAAGAACCCTCGGCTCCTTTCCACCTCCCACTTCTTTTCCCAGCCCCCCTTCTCCTGTTCCGGGGTTTCGAGTGGGACCCCAAACGCCCTCCATGATGCCATTCAACAACCCGCCACCACCAACGTTACACACCACGGCATCGACATAGGCCCGGTGCACGACGCGCATTTGCTCAGCGACTTCGTCCATCAAGGTGGCTGCTCCAGACCAGATATCTTCGTGGTCGAAGGGGGGAACGTAGACTTGCTTCGTCTTCTTTTGTGTCTTTTCCCCCTCCCCCTCTCCACCACTACTCTCCTGCTGCAAGTCCTCAAGAGCCGAAGCGGGCATGACTACTTCGCGAAGGTGGGTATCAGCCTCAAACCACGAACTACCATGGATCACCACCGTAGCACCTAGTCCGCGAAGTCGACGCAAAACGGGCTCCTGAGCAGAGGTGGGCACGACGATGGTTGCTGGACAAGCCAATGTGTGGGCGGTGGTGGCGCAGGCGAGACCGGCGTTGCCGGCGGAGGAGCAGAAGAAATGGATTTTTCTCTGGGTGGTGGGGGGTTCCTGGAAGGAGGTGGAAGAAGAGGACGGGGAGGAAGGGGGAGAAGGGAGGGTGGAGCGGAGCATCATGTTGCCTATGCCGCTGTTGGGGTGTAAGTCTCTTGAAAGCGTGGCAGGTTGATTGGAAGAGAGACGAAGGGGACGTACCGAGACTTGAAGGACCCCGAAGGCTGAACATTCTCGAGTTTGAGATAGATGTTACACCCAGCGGCGTTGGATAGTTGGGCAGAATAGATGAGGGGGGTTTCAACCCAGGGCTTGGGAGGTTCCGAGGACGCGGGAAATGATACGGAGCCCATTTTGGTGGTGTATATGGATGGACTGGACTGGACTCGAAGGTGGTTCAAGGTTTTCTTGAGGATTTCGAAGAGAAGTGTCGGTCACCTTGTTTTGTTATGTATGTATGGATTTGTCCTCTTGGAAGCTCCTGATGATGACGATGATGATAATGATGAATGAGAAGAAAGTGAGTCAGTAGCCAAGACGATAGGTCGAGTTTTAGAAAATCCGGGGAAGCTGGAAGACAAGATATATCCGTTACATGGATGTGGGTACGGTAATCTCGACACAATTTTTTTTTTTTCCTCCTCGGTGTCATCTAGATATCAACTGTCCCCATAGGTTCACCTCTTACTGTACTCATGTATCCTTGACTTCTTACTCGTGCTCCATCTCAACCCTAGATTTCGGCCGGTTGGCCAGCCAGCCGGCGGGTGGTTGCCCTTTCCCACTTGGAGTAGCCGGTCCCATGATTGTACTTAGTACCAGGCCTGGACTCACCAGGGCCTGTCACTTAATCCATGTGCCTGCTTTGATAAGATCTCGAGGCTCATCGTGCTCATGGGGTGTGAAACTATCAAAAGAAGCTACGGAATGGAAAGGAACGAAAATACCTGTCAACTGATCGGTCAAGATCGAGTGATACCGTGTGTCAAGTCTTCCCGGCCGGTATGTACGGGGGTAACGATTAACAGCGGCACTGGCTTTGCAGTCGGTTGGAGAACTTGGGCTGGTCATGTGATGATGTGTTATTACATAAAAAGAAGCCGGAGAAGGTCGATCCCATGACCCTACCGTCTTTTTTATTTCACCGTTTTCTTCGTCGATGCTGGGACTGACACCTTTTTTTTTTTTTTTTTTTTTAATTGGCACAATTCTTCGTGTGTTGCTTTTTTTTCCTCCTTTCTCACGTCTTAACACTAGTGAATGATGACTTGGGAAGAAGGTGGATACGGTTCCTGAACTTTCGTCGCGCGCTTTGGAAAAGGTCGTTGACCTGATCAAAAATGTTACAAGGTCACCAGGGATAGTCCCTTCCCGGGGATAAAGCCGAGTCTGGGTTGAACTGCTTGTTTGATAGTATCGAGAGCAAAACACCGCGTTTATGAACCATATTGATACAAACAAATGTCTGAGAATAGTCACGCCGGTGTTCACCTGGAGTGAATCTTGGATATCCTGGACGGCTTCGAAATCTCTTTGTCAAGCCCGGCCGGCGAATGACGCGGCGTGGCTGTAGCCCCTGTAGGCACAGTACCACCAATACGCACCTGAACAGAAGAGGAGAAGAACATCGAATTGATAACGATATGCCGAAGGTTGTCCATCCTGTCTATCAACTACACCATGAACAGAAATTCCAGAAATGGATCCAGCCAGGGCGGTAACATCACGTAACAAGATAGGCGCCGATACGGTGAGATTACGCCGTTGAAATTCACTGATAGGACGAAGCCACGCCCTTGGATGCTCGTGCTGCAGACCCGGAATGCAGTCATGCAGGTCCATGAGAAGGAAAAAGTCAAGAGCCCCGATAAGGAAGCCCAAAAAAAGCCTCTTTTATCCATTCACCCCCCGGTGCATTAGGTGTGTTTATTCGAAGCGATGAAGGGCTTGTACTGTTGTACCGATGAACCGATGTTAAACGTTCTTAACTTTTTTCTTTCTTTTTCAACCGAACGGCATTGCCGCACTGCAGGGTTGGATTGGATAGGAGAAAGGTGGGTCTGAGACCGAAGGTGGGTCAGTTGGAAGGGCTGGGCCTTCCTTTTTGGAACGTCGTCCAACACCTTTCAACGTCGTTCATTCCTTTTGGTGAAGACAACGACTCCTGGTGAAGGTGGGAACCGAGAGATTTCGACTCAACTTCTGACTGTTTCGTTCGAAACTTTGCGCGCTTGGAGCCCTCATATAAATTTTGTTGTTTGTCTCAGCCATCAGATGAATTCCATACTCGGGAGTGTTGGAACTTTGAACTGCTGCCGCATGTCGGGCGACTTGGTCGCTGAGAGCCAGCCGTTCGTTCGGTTCGGTTGATTTGTTCCATTTGCTCCCTTGATTCCTTCCAAGCGATTCGATTCGAGAGATTGGTTGGATTTCGAAATAGGTGACTGTGTGTGCGTGTGTGTGTGTGTGGGAGGTAACGCAAACTTGCCTCAAGGAGCGTTGCGTGGATGTCGCTTGGTGGTTGTCATGGGAAGTCACGGTCCTGATGTCGGATGTTTTATTGGGCGCATGCCCTGACCTTGGGGAAGGTGCGAGCGCGATGATGTCCATGAGGTGATGAGGGGATGGATGCCCCTGGACATGTCGATCTTCAATATCCCTCCGTCTTCGGTGCTTCTTGGGCTTCTGCTCCCGCACTCAACGTCGTCAACATACAAGCAAGTCCATCTCGTTATCCAGGTCATGGTCAGGATATTCCAAGTGGAAGTTTGAATCCGGACTGGTGAGCCACTCGCTCCTCTTCGCTGGGTTTATGACCCAATCTTCTTCCCTTATACATGTCGATGTTTGTGTCTTCTTGGTGTCGGAACGGAATCTCTGTTGATGGTGCTCACTCTCCTTCATAGTGTGCCTTTGCCATCCCATACCTCTCGAGCTCCCCCTCAAAGTTTCAGCTGTTTTTATGGATATTCATCTCTTGTCTTTCTTGCCTCGTCTCTCATATCAGTCACGACCTCGGAGGAACCGGAGGAACAGAAAGTGAGTGCCCGGAAAAGCTCGGTGAGTTTCAGTGATTAATACACGTTCCGTCATATGGCATGGACCACTTGCTTGGTGGGAGATTATCGCGATTCTGTGTCAGAGCTGCTTAGCCATGACACCCAAGAAGCAAGCTTGAAAGGTCTTCCTCATTGATCACAGTGGTCTGAATCTTTTGCGTCGGAGTTTGGAGATGAAATCAGCGCACTAGAGGCACTCCGCGAGCTCTACCTCCCGTCATCCCATCTTTCTGTTTGGAATCACCTCCAGCAACGGAGATGGTCATCTCTTCCTTCAGACAACATTCAGTCGGCTCCATGATGGAGACCGTGACGGGGTTTTCGCTGGAAAATCAGTATTTACTTCGTCCTCGCTGTCGTTCAAAAACTTCCTCCTTGCATCAAAAGGCCAGCTTCTCGGGTCCTTGTTTGCTTTGGTGGCAGCACATGGACACGATCTTGAGCAATATCCCAAGACATCAGGAATCCTGACACACGCTGTTTACGTCAAGGTACGTTCCGTCTTCCTTTACTTGACCTTCGCCTTGAACGATCACAACCTCACCCATACCTCTTGTCGTCCCCACCTTTGGTATTCCTCCCGGTGAAAAGGGATCACGGTAATCCCACAGAAAAACTTCTCATGGGCAAAGACTGCATTCACAAAACTTCTGGTTTCCAAAGTTTGAGTGTCCTGTATCTTGCGTGGATCCACTCGGGCACGCTTGATCTCATCAAGTCGTCTGCGAGATACCCCTGGGATGTATCACTTACGGAACAGTCGCACCATTGGCATATCAAACTCTAATCGAGACCTCCATATTGTGGACTGCTACATGCGTCGTAGCAGACCTGGCTTCGACCAGCTCTTGAATCAGACCACTAACTTGGATTCAGGTCCTGAACAACTTCAAACCTTAGTGGTCAGCTGGAGATCGAAGACCATCAAATCAATCGTCCTGTTGGCTTCACCTGTCCGACCCGTGGTCCGTTAATGGTTGTTGCCTAGGGCGACAAGGTTTTGATGTTGTCTGGGTCAACACCATACTCCTACGATCACGACCTGAAAAGACCCATTCACCACCAGTCCTTGTGGTGCGGCAGGCATTGAAACCTTCTTCCCATCCTGCCATTCGCTTGACGGCCCGGTAAAACCACAATTGACCAAGGTGTCTCTACAACAAGACAAGAACAGCACACAATTTCTTGCAATTCGCCCTCTATCATCAGCAACACAGCACCGACATTCTGCACTCTACCGTTACCCCTTTTGCCACGCCGACATATCCTTATAGCATTACCGATTTCGCCTTTGGCGCCGACATTCCACACACATCCCTCACGGGGAATGCCCTCGTGTCTCCGGCATTGGACTATCATCTGAGCCTCCTATCTTTAGCAACCCAACATCGGTATCTTGCATCTTCCTGCTACTCCTTGAACAACCGCACGAAATTTTCACAGCTTTACCGACACTATCTTCATTGCCGACTTTCATAAGAATCATCCGAGCCTCCTATCTTCAGCAAATATGCCGGCCATGTCCATCCTAGCCCTCGAGCGCAATAATCGCGCACGCCTACGCCCTCAAGCAGAGATCATATCTCCAAGATCAAATCGGATTTTCCCTCAGTCCAACCGAGACAGTCATGTCCCACCACGGCAAAAGGTACATGAATGGCTCTTCAACCAACAACACCTTGTGCAGGCAGGCATGATGGCCAATGTCGATTCAACACGCTCCATTCGGATGAGCCCAGCCCTCTCAGCAAACATCCAATCTACCAGGTTCGAAACGCCACCTAGAAACACACAGCCTCTCGACCTGTTGCCACCTCTCCGGCCACCTAAGCGTACTGTGTCGTATGGTGGAAACCAAGATGTAGACCCAGAGAACGAAGATAAAAACCTAGACAGCTCCCTGAGGCGTCGCATTTCCAGCCTTCTTAAAATACGCCCGGCCAAAAGGACAAGGAATAACCCGCCGCCGCCGCCACCACCACCACCACCCCAAAGAAGATCAGCGAACAGAAGACATGCGGACTCTCAAGCAGTCCGCTCCTTTCGACAGGTGCTACGAGCTCCGGCTATAGATGAAGATGTCGTGACCGCTGAGGTGCTACGAGCTCCGGCTATAGATGAAGACGTCGTAACCGCTGTATCGGCGCAGGACGGCAAAGACATCTTTCCCTTGCTTATGCTCCCCTTTGAGGTTCGTGAAAAGATTCTAAGATATATATTAGTATCCGACAAGCCCGTCTATGTGAAGCGTCTCTGGACTGAACAGGTCCGTTCTATACGCCGCAATACCCGCGGACGAGGACACGGGGGTAATGGCGATAAAAGCGAAGAGGAATACACTAATAAAACGACCATTTTACGAACATCCCGTCAAATGCTAGCAGAGGGCAGCTTACTTCTTTACTCGCAGAATCAGTTCGTTTACCTATTGCGAGACCCTATCCACGCCATGGTGGATTTTGCTTCCATGCTCAAGGAAGCGCAGAAGAAATCTCCAAAGAAAATCGAGGGTCGTAACAAGCGTAAGCGCAAAGCAGACAGCCAATACGGCTTATACGAAATCAACATCGCAAAGTATGGACACTTGCTGCGACACTTAAGTATCGAACTCGAGCCGAACAGATCCGGCACACAATACAGGGAGCTTATGGAGCAGGCACTTGATGTCCTGACTAGCTCCGATAGAAGGGGCAGATACCTGCTTGCTGGCCAAATAGTGGATGGAAAGACCCCAAGAATTTTCCTCCACACTTTGACAATCACCGTGTCACCTGAAAACGATCAGGGTCGCCCTGGCAGCGGATCAGTTTCTAAGAACAGCAGCCAAGAGTCGAGAAGCCCGTATTCGAGCGCCATCGAGCTGTTCGATAGTAGATCACTCGTCATGCATGCGCTCTCCCGCATTGACACCCAATTTCTTCGAATCAACATGCATATCAATGACGGCCCCCATAACGATAACGAAGGGGACGACGAATTTGCGCTCAACACAGGTACTAGAAAGCGTCATCTCGAGACGACCATCGACATGCGCTTCCTTCCGCGTCACACCAAGCAGGTCGAGCTGTCCGAGAACGGTGATTCGTTTTAGGTAAACGATCACTTGATGAAGGAGCAGCGAGCCAAGAGGGGCGAAGAGGCCCAGACAGCACTCCAGACCCTCAAGATTCGTATGTACGAGGGATTCGAGAATCCGGATCGGGTTGTAGTCGACGGACTTTGGGAGGACAACAGCGCCGCCGATGTCCGCCGCAAGAAGGAGAGGGCAGAGTTCGAGGCCCGTCTCGAGGGTGATGCTCGCCGCCAGAATGATGACGAAGAGTCCAGCTCTAATGAAGACAGCGATGAAGATGAGAATGATGACGATGACTACGAGAGTCGGCCAAAGAAGAGGAAGCTGACGACTCGCGGCCGTGGACGGTATGGAGATTCGTTGCTCATTTCTGTAAGACGTGTTGCTGATGGATTGGTTGTTTCCAGGTCTTGAATCACTCCCTTTTTATTTCTTATTCTTCTTATCATCCTTCTTCCGACATTGATATTCTGAGTATGTTATTTCCTCAAAATGGCGTCGCACAACAGCGACTGAGTCTCATTTGGTCAAGAAGCCCCGATGAAACTTCTTATCGGCGTCGGAATTGTAACATCATCATCGCTAATGGGATTTGAGGCCCTGTTAGCGAACATCTTCGACTGCGTCCTGGTCAGCATACGGCAATGGGAAAAAGGGCAAGGGAGGAATTTGCAGGCTGAGCAGTGGGGCAAGACTATATCTATCGATGGGAGGAACTTGGTGAATAAAGGGGGGAACTTGCTGGTTGGTTCATGGTTTTCTTATGCACAATCCTGGAGCTATTGAAGTGAAAACGGGCAGAATGCTTTTAGTCTTTCAGGTGGAAGAGACATCTTTAACGACGGGCATCTCCTGTCGCATTGTATACTATGTATGCGATGACAAGCAGCCAAACCAGGGGAGTGATCATTTTTATGGTTGCAAACATTCTGGTGGTCGATTGAGTTCAATGGAAGGATTTGAGGAGTGGACAAATGGGCACGACAATACCAGTCACACAATAGCACCATCAGGAGCTGAAGCGTCTGAGCCTGATGTAGCAAGCAGTTTGCATGACCTTGATAGCTTTATTACAAGTGCGTTGATCTTTGACATTGACACTTGGAGAATTCTCATCCTGTTCCAGATTGTCCAGCAAATCATGTAAATCTCCTGGCACCTGACATCAAACCGTCACTCCCTCACCCGTAGTACCTCAAACAAAAAACTCCCGTAATTCCCTCCCTATTCCAGACTCCTAATGCTGAAAGCGAAGAACATGGCAGAAACGTGATACATCTAACTCGTCACCGTCTCTATATTTCCCATCACCCCTATCACCCACGACCCCAGTCTATGGATGTCATCTCACATTCACTCAGCGACAATCTTCACCCTTTCCACATCTAGCGTCTCCGTGTCCACGAGCACCACCTCTCTAGTCTCCGAGAACGAGGGCACGGCAATCAACCGCACTGCTTGCCCGTCCGGTCCGTGGATTACTTTCGTCCCAAACTCAGGCTGGCAGCCGACGAAGAAGAGGTGGGGACACTCTTTGATTACGAAGGGCTCGTCTTCTTGGAAGGGGTAAGACCCTGTTTGATCAGACAAGTTAGTTCGTTGCTAATTCCCAGGGTGATGGGGGGATGGAAAGGTGAATCAAAACCAAGGGATTAAGGGAGGGGAAGGAATGCTGCAGAAGGTGAAGAAAAACTCACAAAGCGTATCCGGCGCCGTCGGCGCCACACACCTCCACCTGCACATGGCCTCCATCATCCCCAGCCTGTCCTCACTCTCCACATACTTAAACACATCATCCAGATTCTGTCCGCCTGTGCCCAGCACCCGCCACCCCTCAATCTCGCCCTCCCACGGATTCGTCACGTTGTCAAACCACCCCGGCTCTTCTTCCCCTGGCACATCTCTGTCCTTGCCCGCCCCCGCTTTTGGGGGTGGCATGTACGTCCTCGACTGCGGGAACATGGCCGGGTGAATCGGCTGTTGCGGGTAACTCGCGTTGGCGGGGTCGAGCGCGCCCGGGAGCAGGGTGACGGGCATGGTGGGGAGGAGTTCACTCAGAAAGCTGTCCAAAAGTTGGGAGGGGACCGGGTTGTAGGAGCTGCTGTCGTAGCCGTATTTTTTGTTTTGTGGTTGGAACTTGTTTGTTACGGTGGTGGTGTCGAAGGCCGCCGCGGGTTTGGCCTGTTCGGCCGCTGTCGTGGAGATGGAGTTCCCCGCTATGATGAGGCGGGTGATGTGCGAGAGCTCGTCGCGCTGGATGGAGGGGTCGAGCGCTTCGCCGAGGAGATACTCGAGAAGCAGGTTGAGTTCCATGGCGTAGGAGGTGTCGGCGTTGGAGAACTCGAGGCCGGAGACGAGGGCAATCTTTTTGGAGGAGGGCTTGCGGGGGTGCCCGGAGAAAGAGGCGTCCATCATTTCGACGTCTTCGGAGGAGTCTGCTTCCTTTTTGCCTTTTGAAAGCGACCAGCGCTCGGGTTGTGGTGGTAGTTCGGCGAAGAGGAGGTCGATGACTTCGAATTCGCCGTTGGCGTTCTCGGTGCCCATTACCGCGACGATGCAGCCGGTCACCATGAAGTGGTTTTGCAGAGCGTTGCCGACAAGACGGATGCGGCCGGAGTCGTCTTCGAGCATTACCGAGTCTTCGCCGTTGCCGGAGTAGTAGTGGCCGACCGAGGTGGGAGCGGAGATCCAGCGCTATAACATCATGTCAGCTGCCTGGTGGGATTCGTGCCAAATCCAAGGTTGAAACTCACATCCTTGGAGACATCCTCGAGGATCGAGGGCTTCAGAGGCATGTCCATATATACTGTTCCAGCTACCCAGCATAGTTCTCCCTGGCGAACGTCTAGGACACGCTCGACCCTCTTGACCTTCTCACCACCAAGCACTGTTCCCTCCCAAGCGGCGCTGGCGGCTGCCTCGACGGCGGGCCTGATCTTGGTAAGACGCAGAAAGTAGATGTCGGCATATTGTTGTTGATAGGGACGGGTTTTCTCGAGCTTGAAGGTGTGAAGGGGCTTGTAGTTGGTGATCTGGCGCTGGAGAGCCTCGGGCGCATCGCCTCTTCGTGAAGTTGGGCTGTTAACTGATGATCGCCAGTGGAAGATGGATGATCCACTGCTACTCACGAGGGCTTCTGTAGCAAACCGCTACCGAGAACTTCGTCCAAGGTGACCATCGTATAATTGATACTGACAATGGCTCAAGATGTGAGAACGACAAAAGCAATTGGTGACTTATTCATGTGCTGCCTCGGAAACTGACTTCAAGGGACGAAACTCGACGACGCGCTTGACAATTTCGAGACGCGTAGCTCCAGTGGGTTCAATTAAGCTAGGTACATGACCGGTACTACTCTAGTTTGGCGGCGCTTCAGCACTGTGACCCTCTTAGGAACCGTCGGCCCCGCTATAAAGTTCCGATAAGATAGGGGAACGTAGGGTAGCTAGAACACTCCAGACCCCTGCGCTGCAAGGCTGGACAGAAAAAAATTGGATGGAGTCTTGGATCTGGCATGGCCTTGTGGTGTCCGCTGCAAAGTAAACATCCACACTCTCCCTCCCGGACGACGCCTGTTCTCACAGTAATCCAAGCCAACCTGACTTTTACTTGTCAATTGATAGTATTCAGCCTGCCCATACCGAACAGCGACCACCCAATCCACATAATCTCACAGCACAGGCACTGCCATGGACCACCCTACCGAATCAGGCGCCCAGGTCCGGGTGACCTTCACCACCCAGGAGGAGGACATCCAGCTCGATGAGAGCAAGCGCCAGCTCCTTGTCCCCGCCGACATCCGCCGTTATGGCCTCTCCCGTATTCTCAACTCCGAGTCCATGCTCGACACCAACTCGATCCCCTTCGACTTCCTTGTTAACGGCAGCTTCCTCCGCGGCAGTCTTGAAGAGTACCTCAACGCCAACGGCCTCTCGCTCGAAACCAACATCACCCTTCAGTACGTTCGCAGTTTGATCCCACCAACATACGAGGCCAGCTTTGAGCACGACGACTGGATCAGCGCCGTCGATGTTCTTTCCGCTACTTCTCCCGCGGGCCGCTGGTCCGGCGACAACTTCCAGCGCGGCCAAGACCGCATCCTCTCTGCCTCGTACGACGGTCTCCTCAGGATATGGGACGCCTCCGGAAACGTGATCGGCACCTCGCCCTCGGGCAGCCACGGTGGTCACACTGCCAGCATAAAAGCTGCCAAATTTCTCTCCAGCACTCAGATCGCCTCGGCCGGCATGGACCGCACAGTTCGCGTATGGAAGTACACCGAGTCGGGCGAGTCGTACGAGCGTCGCGGCGAGCTGAAGCCCACCCTCGAACTGTACGGCCACACCTCCTCGATCGACTCGCTCGAGGTTGACGGTGCCTCGAAGCGCATCCTCACTGCCTCCGCCGACGGTTCCATCGGTTTCTGGACCACCTCCAAGGCCTCCGCGCCCGAAGTCTCCGATTCCTCGCTCCTCCCCGGCGCCCACACCTCCAAGCGCCGCAAGCTCGCGACCTCCGTCACCGCCGCCCAGCGCGGCCCGCTCGCCCTCATGAACATCCACAATGCGCCCGCCACGGCCGCCGTCTTCGACCCCCGCGACCGCACCGTTGCCTACTCCGTGTCGCAGGACCACACCGTCAAGACCATCGACCTGACCACCTCCAGCGTGGTCAGCACCTTCACAACCTCGCATGCGCTTCTTTCTCTTGCGGCCCTGCCGCGCTCCTCGGCCTCGGCGCCCCTTCTCGCCTGCGGCACCTCCGCCCGACACATTACCCTCGTCGACCCGCGCACCAGCACGGCCGCGACGAGCGTCATGACGCTGCGCGGGCACGCCAACAAGGTGGTCAGCCTGGCGGCGAACCCAGAGAATGAGTACTCGCTGGTTTCGGGCTCGCATGACGGGACGTGCCGGATCTGGGATCTGCGGTCGGTCCGGCCAGCGACCAAGGACGAGGGTGGCATGGGCAGCGTCAGCGAGCCCGTGTACGTTATTGATCGCGAGAGCCAGCAGGGCAAGAAGAAGAAGAGCAGTGTGACGGGCGACGGGTGCAAGGTGTTGAGCGTGGTGTGGGATCAGCTGGGCATCTTCAGCGGTGGTGAGGATAAGAAGGTGCAGATTAATAAGGGGAGGGGTGTGAATGCTGAGTAGAGGAAGAAAAATGGTCAGGAAAGAGGGGGTTGTTGATTGAAGAGAAGGGAAGCAGCAGAACTTGGTTGTTATGATATACCCAGGATAGATAAAATGGAATGTGAATACTGTACAAGATATCTTTGTGGTATCTGCAGGGACGAGGCCAAGAACAGCCGTGACAGATTCTTTCTGAACTGAACTGTACGCGAAAAATGTACTGACCTGGAGCATAGACTAGATGGCTTCTGCAGAGCCCAGTCAGAGGTTGTTCTAAGGATTATACAAGGTTCATCTACCAACATCTAAAAGTAGCCAAGTCGGTCTCGGGGTATAGGTGCATCATCGACATCTTTCCTTTCTTGTTCAGCACTCGACCAGCAGCTTGAGAGCCGGCTCAGTGACTCCTCGACATCTTCCTCAATCTCTCCACCCCTTCCTCATCAACCGTCGCTTGACTGCTGCTATTGCCCAGCGTCAACTCCTCATCAAAGTCCAAATCCCCAGCCTCCAACGCAGCCTTCATCACATCCTCCACGCTCTCTTCCTTCGGCTTTACCTCCACCTCTGCCTGCGTCTCATCTACCTCCTCACCCTCGACCTCCTCTACCTCCCCTTCCTGCTCCTGCTCCTGTCCAAAAATCTCATCCAACAACTCCAACTCACTCTTCCCCTTCACCCCCTCCCCATCCATCACCCCCGTCCCATTCACCCCACGCGCCTCAGCCTCCTCATACAACGCACACAGCATCTGCACGCCCTGCCACCTGAACTTCAACGTCTCCTCCGAAATCACCCCAGACCCAAAAATCTCCTCCTTCATCCGCTTCGGCTCAAACGACAGCCTACCCTTCTCCTTCTGAATAGCCACCAGAATGTATTGTGCGGCCGTGCTAGTCTTGATGCCGAGCAACGCGGCTAGAGCTTCGCAGTTCATCGACGGATTGCGAGACCAGAGGTAGTAGGCGCGCAGGTTGGCGACGGAGAGGGGGGATTTGGGGCCAAAAGTTTGTTTGCGGGAGACATGGGAGAGGAGGTAGTTCTGGGCCCAGAGGGTGGCTTCGGAGATGAGGGGGTTGATTGGTTTGGGCACTTTGGACTCTTTAGACTCGTTGGGTTCTTTGGGGGTCCGTTTGCGTTTTGTGGATGTTGTTGCTGTTGACGTTGTTGAGGGTTCGGTGGTTTTCTTGGTTGTGCCATTCTTGCCGGGTTTGGTGGTGGCAGAGACAAAAGCGTCTTCGCCGCTGAGGGTCGTGCTCCCGTCTCCTTCGATTTCGACGTTGATGTTGTCGCCCACAGTGGAGAGGTAGTTGGCTGATAGAGTGGCGTCAGGCGCGGCCGTTACTTCCGAAAACTGTTCGTCTAATAAGCCGGCTTCTTCGAAGATGACGTCCGCGGCGAGCCTGATGGGCAGCTTGAGCTCGGCGGCGTACGGGAGGGGAGGAGTGGGGTTGAGTTGCTTTCGTTGGTGGTCCATCATGGCGAAGAGCTGTACGCCGGCGTAGGCGTCGGATCCTGAGTAGAGGATTTGGTCCATGTTCAGGGGCTTGGACCATTCACTTGTCCGGACTGCTCCTTTGAACATTGGCAATTGGAGGACCTCTTTTACCAAGGTTGCCAACGGGACAAAGTGTCTGTTGACAAGCTTGTGCTCACCGGAAGCAGAGTACTTGACAAGCTTATACAAGTGAGAGAGCTCATAGATTCCTCTTGCTTCGATCCCGAGAAACTTTTTCAGACGGGTGCAGTCGCCCATGATCCAGACACCGGCTTTGACAACATCGGCGTCCTCGATGATTTGCTTGAGTAATGGAGAAGCAAGCTCATCCTTCCTCGGATAGAGCGAAATGTGAAAGATTCCAATACGCTTCTCCGAAGCAATTTGGATAACCGACACGTTTTGCCTCGGGCCATGGCTCTCCTTTGCGCTGATTTCCCATTCCAAGTCAAGACCGAGAATCTTGTCATCCATGAAGTACTGCTTCAAGACCCTCTCAGTGGTGGTCGCACTTCTGCAGTAATGGACCTTGACCTTCTCGTTCATGTTTCCATCCTTGTCGGGCCCACGATAGAGGTTGTAAGTCCAGTAAGACTTGGGAGTGCCCTCGGCCGCCTTCTTCGCCTCCTTGAAGAGATCCTCGGACATGGTGAAACTGAGTGGTGTAAACGGAGGCTTGAGAGAAGCATCCTCATCTTTCGACTCAAGGTTCCCATCTTCGAGTATGAGTTGGAACTGCTCCTCCAATCCTTCCTGTGCATCAACAAACTCCTGTCCCTGGGAGTCTAACGTCGTTCCATTCGCGTCAGGGTTTCCCTGAGGTACGCCTGTGGAGTTGAAGACACCATCGTGGTTGGGCGGAAGAACAGGTTCCGGGTTTGAGGTTGCTGATACCGCAGAGTCGCTGTGATATCTTGCCAAAGATGGCAGTTGCGGGTATCCAACTCTGCCGCGACTATCGCCAGCAAACGTAATGCCCCGGCTTGAATTCCATGTCTGATCTTTCCTCTCCATGGCGCCAAGATGTCTTGATTTGTGTAAAAACCCTGGTCAGCCAAAAATACACGGAGAAGTAGTAAGGACCTGGAAGAGCCAGTGAACCTACACTGGATAACGGGACGCGGAAGGAATCGAAGATGAGGGCGAAGAAGCAAAGAAACGCCGCCGGCATTGCCTCAGACTCAAGCTGGTGGTACTGTTTACGGCGTTGGCACCGGCGCCGATGGCTTGTGGTATAGGGTGCGGGGACCTCATTATAGCGATGGATGGCAAGCGCCGATCACAAAGTTGCCGAGTGCGTGGTAGGTAGAGGTAGGTAGGTAGTAAGTGATGTTGCAGGTTGTTAAGGCCCAGAGAACTGCGCCATGACCTGTCGATTCGTTTGAATGCTGACAGAACGAGACGAAAAGGTGGTGGTTTCAGGGCATTGATTTAATGTTGGTTCGGTCAAAGTGGGGGAAGAGAAGAAGTCGGAGACGGAGTGGACGTTGAAACTTCAAGCCGTTGAACAAATATTGGACGGAGAAATACCTTGTCACGGGCAACGTTGGCTGGTGGCAGGCAGAAACGCGAACGTATTTGGTTGCCTCCGAATACTAAAATCACAAACTGTTTGCTTTGTTCACAAGGAAGCATCGATGTGAATTGATTCGGTTGCCACTGCAACAGCAGCGCTGTCACGACGTCCAGCCGCTGCCGAGTCGCTGCTGAAGCCTAGATACCCCGTTTATTCTCATATGCATGGGTACAAGCATAAGCTGCGCCAAGAATCCGAGTTCACGCTGATACTGTGGGAATTGCTGACCTTTTTCACTGTACAACAGCTACGTGCGCCCCGTCGCCTTGGCCTCACAATCGAAGCTCAGTGAACGGCCACTGAACGTCCCTTTCGACATCCAGACTTACCTAAAGACTCGACCCTTCCACACCACATACAACATGGCCTCTCAATTACTTCCTCTCGGTGAGTGAGAGAGCTCATACGGGTATCAATGCAAGAATAAGACAGCTAACGTGGTGCTTTTTCCCCAGAGCTCATCGACAAGTGTGTTGGCTCCCGCATCTGGGTTGTCATGAAGGGAGACAAGGGCACGTTATGCCATCCTAGCTGTCCCTGCTGGACTTTGACTTATCGATGGATGTGCTGACTGAGGATGGGATGATAACAGAGTTCTCCGGCACTCTTGTTGGTTTCGATGACTACGTTAGTAAGTAGCGGACCTCTCCTCATCATCCCGTGTCTTCATATCGTCCCACGGAGCCTTATGCTAACCTACTTTCAAATAGACATGGTTTTGGAGGACGTCACTGAGTTGTACGATACGTCCTACTCTGAAAGTAGTTCATGAAAGTCATTACTAATTTCACTCTTGCTCGATCAGCGACTACTCCGGCAACCACACCAAGTTGAAGAAGATCCTGTTGAACGGCAACAACATCTGCATGGTGGGTCATCATCGTCATCAAGCTCGCGTTTACAAACAACTAACAGCTGTGCTCAGTTGATTCCCGGTGGTGAAGGCCCAATTGCGGCATCTGCCTGATTTGAAGGCTTGAGAGGATACATGAGGCATGGCCGCATTAGGAAGAAGCAATCATCAGCATATCACGAAATACGAATGGACATTTCTTTGCCCTCTGTCGATCACTTCAAAAAGAAGTCAATAATAATAGGTAATTCAGAATGATTCCAAAACACCTCCAAGGAAATTGCTGCCATACATAGCTCACATGAGGTAGGTTGAACTATAATCCTCCATCATATTTCATACTGCTCGTTTGACCCGACTTGACCAAAAAAAATTCTCTTAGATTAGCACGATCAGCAGTTCCTCCTACCCTTAACCAAGTGCTTTTGGATCACCTCTTCAATTGAAGAGGAAAAAAAAGAAATGGCTGCCTGCTATTGCAACTTACCTGATCTAGGAGCACCAGCAACATTGAATATCCAAACCCACCCAACCACCCAACCAGCCGTCCTTGCTCTCTTCCACAACCCATAACTACCAAACCAACATTCAACCACCACCACACTTCAAATAGCCTTAGCATCCAAAATCTTGCTCTTACTCTCCTTCGCCTTGACCAGCTCCTCCACCCACTTATCCACCTCCGCCAACGCCCTTCTGGGGTCCTTCTTGCGCCTCAACAGAAAGCCCTGGATCTCCGCCGGACTGAGGATCTGGGATGCCGGGATTTTCAGGGAAAACTCCCTTGCGATCTTTTGGAGTTCTTGCCTAGTTAAGGGATTGATGTGGAGAGGGACGGGACTTTCCGTCTTTTCTTCTGCTGGTTCTTGTTGTTTCTCCTTGTCTTTGGCTGTCGCCGCGGCGGCGGCGGTGATGGTGGGAACAAGAGGAGGAGCAGCGGCGTTGTCCTCTTCGCCAATGACAGTTGCGTCACTAGAGCAACTGCTGACGGAGGACTTGCGGAGGTTGTTGTTGTTGTCGAGGAGTTTGAGATCAACGATCTTGGGGTCTATGGGGGGCTGTTGTTGTTTTTCTTCATCCTTCTCAGCGGTGGTGCCGGTGCCGGTGCCATCCGGAGAGGTAACCCCCGTATGAGGAGAATGAACGACTGGAGGCAATGTAGTAGCTGCCGATGTGGTGCTAGCTGTGAGTTTATTCCCAACCTGGGTAAATGTTACCGTGGCTGGGTCCACCACATCGGCTTCGTACATCCTCTCAAACAGCTCTCTGACTTGTTCCTGCGTGGCGTTGAGGAACGCGATCTGGATGTCAACCCTGCCCGGTCGAAGTAGTGCTTCGTCTAGCTTCTCTGGCTTATTGGTTGTCATGATGAGCACGCGGCCTTCATGCGAGGCAACGCCGTCGATGGCGTTGAGTAAACCTGATAGCGAAATGCCCCGTTCTCGGTCGTATGGGGACGACCGTCTGCGACCGTACTGTCTCCGGATCAAGTCCAGGTTATGAAGCGACGTGGCAGCGAACGTCTTCGACATCCTTTTTCTCTTCTGCTTCTTCTTGTGCTTCTTCTCTTTGGCCGTCATGGGCTTCTTCTTCTTCTTCTTGTCGGTGGTGCTGCTAGATTCGTGTTTTGTCATTTTCTCACCGGGTTCGCCGTCGTCGCGTGCAGAGAAGGTGGGCTTCGCTTCGCCCTCGGGGGCAGCAGGTTCCTGTTCCTCCTTTTCAGAAGTGGTATTCTTTTCGTCAGTAACCTTCTCATCTGCCTTTTCCTCGTCATTACCCTCTTTAAGCATCTCCTTCAAGGCAGCCAACTTCTCCGCCAGTTCCTTCTCAAGAGCCCCCTGCTCCGCCGTCACCTGCTTTCCCTTGCCTTTCCTCTTCTTCCTCGCCAACTTGCCCTCCAAAAATATCACCTCCAGTGCCCTCTTCTTCTCACTCATCAAATAATCATCGTCACTATCACTACTCCCACCCCCATCACTACCACTACTCTCACTACCACTACTCTCCTCATCCGTCTCATCCTTTCTATTTACCAATCCCGCCGTATCAATATCCTCCAACAGCACCACACACCGTCTCGGCAAATTCGTAAACAACATCGCCAGATCGTCTTCCGTCAGATTCTGATCCAACAGCGAGATCACAAAGATATCCAGCCCAAACACCCCCGCCAGCGCAAAACTCAAGCTCGTCTTGCCCGTCCCCGGCGGGCCATGAAACAGGTACCCCCTGCGCAACGGGATCCCCCGCTCGCCATACCACTGCGCCGTGTCCCTGTGCAGATACTCGTTCATATCCTGCAACACCATCAACTTTTGCTTCTCGTCCAACACCACCGTGTCCATGGGCCGGATGGGCCGATCCGCCACCTCGGCCCAGACATGTCGGCCGCCATAAATGCGCATCTCGGGCCGCGCCGGACGGCGCACCACGGTCGTGGCCGCCTGGCGGTTGTGGTTCCATTCTTTGGTGAACTGGATAAAGTTCTTGATGGGCCCGGCGGAGAAGCCGACGCAGGTGATGACGAGGTTCTCCTCGCGACGCATGGAAAGACCCCGCCACTCGGACTGGTGCGCAATGTTGGAGCGCGTCCGGTTGAGCCAGAAGTAGGTGCCGGCGAAGGTGAAGGTGTAGGGCACGTTGACGGCGGGGAGGAAGCGAGGGGGTTTTTGGTGCTTGTGAGTGGAGAAGTTGAGGCAGGCTTCGCCGTTGGGGAGGATGGTGGGGGCTTGTTTTTTCTTGTTTTTGGCGGTGGTAGTGGTGTTAGAAGGGTCTGTGGTATTGGTAGTGCTGGTGCTGGTGATGACGGTAGTGGCCGTGGTGGTAATAGCGGTTTTGACAGCGGCAGCTCCGGCAGCGGCTGCAGCTCCGGCCTCGTCGTCCTCGTCATGGTCGTCGGCGCTGCCGGCTATGGTGTCGGCTTGAAGGAAGCGTGTCTTGGCTGAGCTGGGCTGGATGGCGACCCAACGCATGATGTGGATGAAGATCGGGTCGTCGTCACCGACTTCGACTCTGGCGGTGAACCAGTTGCAGATGATGTCTTCGACCACCAGCATTTTTACCTCGGACCAGAGTCTTTTGGCGGCCCATACGATAGGACCCAGGGATAGGAGGATTGTGGGATCGAAGCCGAGCCAGCTGGTGATTGCTCGGTGACAGGACACTAGGAAGTCTCTGACGGCCGGTGGAAGGTACATGTCCAGCATGGGGCTGAGGCTCGCCAGGAGGTTGTCAGGCAGTAACATTGTCGGGGCCTGGGTAGTATCGTTGATGGTGGTTGTGGTGATGTTGATGGCCTCGCCACTGTCGGGAGAGGCATCTACCAGCGTGGAGAGTACCCAGATCATAAGCATGTGACAGTCCATGTTGACGAAAGAACGACGATACGATGATCAACGAGGTGATGTTGTATGCAGTTATAGACGATACAGTCCGTCAGGATATGTCATGAAGGCGTTGGGCGTTAGTGACCTTATACCTCCTCCTTCCTGCTTCATCGCCAGACACCTCGTGATGGCCAGGAGAGGGGGCAATAGCTGATAGTGGAGCAGCTGAAACTTGATTTTCTGAAAGAGAAGAGCGGGAGGAGATATTCAGCCTTGTCGGTGGGCCTTCTAGCTAGGTAGTCCATACACCATACATGTTGGCAATTATCGTAACGATCAAGGAGGACATGGGAGGGGAGCTGCCATCACCCACCCAACCCTTGTTACCAATCATGCGGTACCGTGCGAGGTAAAAGAAGAGTGGGCTATCCTCCTAGTATTCCCTCTGTCCAACGCTCTCTTCACGTTTCAAGTTCCACAACAACAAACGTGTATCACTGTCTGGATACGCTCCCCAAAACCTGAGGGAGGACACCCAAGGAATGCAAAGTGTAGGAGGGACTAACAGACAAACATCTGATGAAGCACATGCTTGCATGTCTCGGTTCTGCTTAGGCCCCAGCTTTGAATGTGATGTTTGTGCGTGTCCTCTTGGTGCCAATAGGACATAAAGTTGGATTACTGGTGTTTTGGTAGCCAAGCTCCAAGGTAGCTCAGCATAGTAAGGCAGCTATCCAGCGTCCCATGTCGTTATCCATCACAGTTTCTGCCCCTCATACATGTTGCCATATTTCCTTGTTTGTCGGGACAGGAAAGTTCCGTTATTACTTCTCTGTTCCCAGGAAAGAAATAAGAGACACAACAGGGGCCTAGCCTCATCTATGGACGGGAACCAGTCTTCCGTGAGAAGGCCCGTCGTGAAGATGACCACAAGCAGGCAGCCGGAAGTAGAGTACGGGGTTGAAGGAGACCATGAGAGATGCTGTTTTCCTCTATGTCTCAGCTGGGCTCCTGAAGTTATGAAAGCACTTCAGAAAACACCCGCTCTTTTCTCACCGAAGAGAGTCAAAAGTCCAATAATGCTGGCCCTTCCCTGGGAGATTGGTCCATCGGGTCCACGACCCGATATGTTCCTTGACTCAGTGAAAGGTTGCACGCTGGCCGCGTACTTCATGGTGTAGATGCTTTTCTTGTATGAGGCTTGCTTATCTGTACATGGGTCAGTTTGGAAAGTTTGCCTAGCCAATGCAGTTGCTCCTTGAACAACATGTCACAGGGCCGACGGATGGCCAAAATTCTAATCTACCTAGGACTTGAAAGTGGTACGTTCGTTACTACCCCGCGCTACAAGGAACTAACGTTAACGAACGGTTGCTCTCTTGTGCCGAGAACCTCAGCTTCGTCGTTTTGGTTCAACGCGGTCGAGGTAGGGTGCCATGAACGTACATCTGTTTGGCTTCGCAGAGCCTCAAGCTGTAAGCCTACTTTGTTGACAGGGGGTTTGGCTTTGCGGCTGGGAAAATATGATCAAAGAGCTCCGAAGCGCACCAATAATGATTCCTTTTAGGAAGATATTATATGTAAGTTAGGCGCAAGCTTGTCTCAAATCGGTTCATGTAACCTTGAGAATGAGGCTTATAATGAAGATCAACTTCGTTTTCGTATTCCCCGCTGTTTCTCCAGCAAAATAATTCATGTGTTTTTGATGACCCAGAATTATCTTACAGTGATCTACAGAAAGGGAAACTCGGCGATAAAGAAGTGATGTCAACGGGTGATTGATTCTGGACTTCCTGTTTGAAGCACTGTGATTAGCCATTGAGGATCATCCTGTCTTGGCCTTACGCCCACGTACATAGTATAGGAAGTGTACAAGCTCCGCAATCACTCAATAGGGTATAGTAGGTCGCACTTCAGGCTGGGCTGTCATTTTGAAATCTAGGTCATAAACCTACCCAACAGCATGCTCAATGGTGCAAGGGCACACGGGTATACAGTGTCCCTGGCTGGCGTTGAACACGTCAACTTGTGTTAGACGGTCTTTCTGAGCCCAAAGAATTAGATTCCGTTTCAGCCAGAGATGTTCGTTGATGGAGGATACACCACCTTCTAGAAAATATATTTGCTGTTCCCTATGTTTTCCTCTCCCATCCCGCATATCCCTTTGTTTCCGTTTCCCCAGCCCAAGGTACGCCCAGGTCTAATTGACAAACTTGCCAATATCCTCTTTCTTCAGACCGTGGACCAAGGATTCGTCTGTAACCAGATGACTTTTATCCAATCCATGCCGAGGAGACACCGTGTCTGCCACCTGGTCACTTGTCTTCTGCTCCTTTTCGTTGGACCTGTGTTCAGCAACATCTTTCACCTCCTTCTCATCGTCTGCGGCACCAACTGAAGCAACGTCTGTCGTACTCGCTAGGTCCCCTGCTTCGGATACATTGCCTGAATGCGGCTCTGTCCTCCACAAGTGCGCCCCAGCCTCCTTCAGCAATTTCACATTCTCCACGTTACCCATCTTTTCTGCAAGATAAAGAGGTGTGTGGTTTGCATAGTTACGTGGATGTACACTAGCACCACGAAGCAGCAACTCGTGAAGAACATCTGGATTGGGCCCAACCGCGGCAAGATGCACAGGGGTGTTGCCGACGTAATCAGCCCTCTTGAGGAGCTGATGGTTGAACTCGTCACCCTCAAGGATTTCGCGAACAGTCCGTAGATCCCCGTTGCGGATGGCGTAGCCAAGAGCCGTGAAAGCGGTGTCTGATCAATAATTAGCTGATGTTAAAAAGGAGTAGCGTGTTGAAGGAGCCTTGTACATACCTGCAGCAGGCAGCCATGCCATAGCCGAATCGATGCTCCCTGCGGGATGCGAGAAAGAGGGCGTTGCCATTTCTGTCATCTCCCCACGTAGCGATTGCGACATCCGTGCTGTAATCTCAGAGTAGGTAAGGTTTGGCAGAGCCAGGAGATAGGATAGCTTCGTCAGAGCCGCTTCGGTAGTCAGATCATGGCCAAATACCACGCCGGCTCTTCCCAGTACGGTTCCGGGGGCATAGAGTGGCGAGACGAAGCCATTTGTGCATTGGCTCACGTTGACAATGACAGTTCCACGGTCAATGGCTTCCTTGATGACCTTGGTCAGACTGCCATCAACGCCGCCCGGTGCATTGCCCATGCCGAACGTCTCGAGGATCAAACCACGGAGGTCTGGGACTTTTAGAACGGATTCGATCATCTCAGGCTTGATTCCGGGGAAGATACGTAAACAGGCCACATGTGCGGTGTCGAGATATTTTGTCACTTGAAATTCGGCAATTTGAGTGGGCCGTCGAATCAGCCCCCAATTAACATCCACTCCTAGACTTGTGACCTTGGCCAGCGGATCGCAGTTAGGGCTGTCGAATGCCTCGAAAGAGGAAGCCGATACCTTGGTCGTCCTGTTGCCGCGGTACAAGGTGTGGTGGAAGAATAGGCAGACTTCGGGGATAACGAAGGTTCCCGCGATGATGAGCGAGCCAAGAAGGTTGTCAACTGCATCAGACTGGAGAGCAAAGATGGAGGCTTGCGACCCTGTAAGGATGACCGGCTTCCCGAGATCCGACATCATGAAAGAAAGGGCCGAGGCCGTATATGCTAGGGAATCGGTTCCATGCAACACCACGAAGCCGTCGAACATGTGGTAGTTCTCCTTGATGGTAAGCGCGATCTCGGTCCATCCCATGGAAGAAATGGAACTCGAGTCGAGCAGGGGGGTAAACTCAAGGATGCCATAACGGATATGACGAGAATACGCGCTGACTGGTGTTCTCAGGCTGTCCAACGTCAATTTAGCCCCGTTCTTGTATGCCCGAAGCTGAACTGCACTTGGTCAGTAAGGGTTTCCATCCGGTGTAGATTCACAAGCAAATTACCATTCGGAGCGGTAGGATCATTGAACGAAGGGCGAGGAGCCATAGCGTTCTTCAAGAAGCCCGTCATGGGAACCAGACCATCTGCAGACGGTTGCATGCATATTGTACCGCCTGTCATGATGATAAGCACCCTTGACTCGGGGTAGTGAGACTCGGGGTTCTTCCCCTCGAACGAAACCTGACCCATTGTGTCGATAGGGCGTTGATTGTCGAATCTGGCACTGCCTCTTGTTGTTCGACTTTCGGGAAACTTTTGACGTAGTCGACTTTGCCCCAGTGGCTACCTTTGAATTTATATAAGGAAAAAAAAAAAAAAAAAGGACCCTTGACGCACCGGTGGCCGGAGACACCTCGGCCGACGATCCGACCATAAAGATTTTTGTTAGTCAAGCAATTCCAGGCCTGTTTTACCAGCGTCACACCTCCACCCAACTTAAAAATAACCACCACACTCTTTCAACGAAGACGAGCAATGGAGGCGGTGACAGAGTCCAGATGGTTCGGTTCAATATGAGCAAACAGAAATAGGGATTTCACGGTCTGGAAGCTCCCAGAAAAAGAAGCGGTCTCGGGATCGAACAGTGCAACCACTCAAAGTGCCTGGTCAAGGGCAACAAAGCTTGAAATAGGTAGCAGAAGGAGAAACCAGGCGAAGATGTCGACTTCATCCACACCTTTCGAGAAAGGTCAGGCCCAACTTGGACGTGCGACGACTCGTGAGAAGACCAGTCAACACAAAAATGGCGGCTACAGAAGGTTGACGCAAAGGATGTTGAAAATAAGTCCAGTCATGTGCCATGGGACGGTGAAGTCTGTTACTAACAGAAAGTCAAGGCCCGAGCCCGACTGGGTAAAGAGGAACCGGATCCGCAGACTAGCGACGTCTCCAGAACTGAAGGTACGTATGTACACTACAGGTGTGAAGCAGACGCCCCAGCATCCTAGCGTAGCCGCGACACTGGGGGAGAGGGGGGGGGGTTTATTCATCAATACGAGCCCGACTTCGGACATACATTTTGGCAAGAGATCCAGCAGGCCAATCCAGCGCCGACAAGACGTCCTCAGTAGAGAACTCGTCAGATTGACCGATCAGCGAGTGATCGCGACGAATAACGTGAGATGGCGTCTTTTGCACATACTCATATGAAAGTGAGTGTGTTCAAGAAAGCCTGAAGGAGAACGAAGAATGCGAAAGAGCGGACGAGAAAAGAGCGTGGAAACCTGAAGAGAAAAGGGATTGTGGGAGGAGGAAAAATACCTACCTACCTACTACCTACTTCTACCTGTGGGTAGTCAAGTTTTTGCTTGCGTCGATGAGATGCCCTCATGGCCCGGCGATGACGCTCCTTCCGCTTCGAACACGGCGCCCATTACGGTAAGTACCTCAGGAGGAAGGCACCGTCAGCATCACCAACACATTTTGTACTTGGCTTATTCTGCGGCTCTAGCTCAAGCACCTGGATGTACTGTAGTAGCACAGCAGGTAATTCGGCCTAGGCGGTTACCCTACGTCCATATGTTGACAGTCGCGATGAGTTAGTACTTCACAATGAAGTCATCAGGTACATCTTACCTACCTATCTAGGTAGGTAGAGTTGCAGGAAGGACCTGGCTCGGTACAGTACTTCCTCCTCCGAAGCCACCGTCTGGTGAAGAGACAGCCTGGACAACTTGATCATGGAAGCCCGGGACATTGTGGCTGGTCTTCGGAGAGTGTCTGGAGACGCGTCCATTCTCGGCCGCCGACAGAGCCTGCGTCGCCGTTGATCAAAGTCCAGTCACGATATTGATGGTCACAAACCTTCCCGGTCTCTTGGTTGCATAGAAGAACAACCTAGCCAGCCGAGATTCATGCCCCGATGGTGGTGGATACCTACTGGCGGCCCGCCGCTAACAGACAGCGCTATAGAAATTGATCTTTGCCCCATTTGAGTTTGGCTCAGTGAGCTGCGGAACCCCTGGACCAAAACTCAATGGAACAGTTACACGGCTGAATGGTGGGGTCTATCAGATGAACCTCCACTAGGTGACGAAGCTAATTTTGAGTTACACTACACTACTGTGAAACCCCGCAGTGAACCGCAAAGGTACTCAGGGTCCGCTGCGTCACAGAAAGTGCCTGCCGAAGCATGAAACAGGACTAGGCGATCGACAGAAGGCAACCACATTTTTTTTTTCTTCTCCGAGGGCAAGACTTCTTCACGCGTTCTTTCTTTCGTTTGTTTTTTGCTGAAGTAGAGGTAACGTCTTGGAATATCACCACGCGCCAAACTTTAAGAACAACCAAGCAGCATGGCTTCCCCGGCAGAAACCTCCGTGACTTACGAGGAGTTGCGCGATCTCGAGAACGAATTCGAGGATGTCGAGACCGAGATTAGTAAGTTTGCTTTTCTACCTACATGCTCCTCGTCTCCCCACCATTTTTGTCGCTTTCTTGTGTTTGCATATCGCTCATTACTAACATGTCTCATCTGAAAGTCCGCCAGCAGGTCCAGCTGTCCCGCCCCCTCTACGAGAAGCGTGAGAAGGTCGTAGCCCAGATCCCCAACTTTTGGCCCCTGGTTTTCGAGCAGGCGCCACAAGACATTGACGAGTACATCCAACCCCAAGACTCCGCCCTCTTGCTATCGTCTCTCTCTTCCTTTTCTGTCTCCCACTTCGAAATCGAGAACGGTGGCTCCGGAGACCCCCGTAGCGTCCTCTTCCGTTTCGAATTTGCCGAAAACGAGTACTTCGAGGACAAGGTGCTGGAGAAGAAATTCTGGTCGCGCAGAAGCAAAGGCGGTTGGACAGGCTTGGTCAGCGAGCCGGTGAACATCAAGTGGAAGAAGGGCAAGGACCTTACGAGTGGCCTGCTCGGCTTGGTCAACGCCGTCTGGGAAGAGGAGAAGGCTGCTGGCAACCATTGGTCCACCGTCAAGGGCGAGGATTTCACGGACAAGCAAAAGGAACTCAAAAACCAGATTGAGAAAATTGGGCTCGGAGGCCTTAGCTTCTTTGCCTGGTTCGGCTACAGGGGCAGGAGAGTATCTGCCGAGGAAAACAAGGCAGCCATTGAAAAGCTTCAAGAAAAGCGACAAGCCAGAAAGGCTACCGCAGAGGCCGGTGAAAGCAAGAAGGAGGAAGACGAGGAAGAGGAGGAGGAGGAGGAGGAGGAGGAGGAGGAGGAGGAGGAGGATGAGATCGAGTTGGAGATCTTTCCGGATGGCGACAGCCTTGCACTTGCTCTCTCAGACGACCTGTGGCCCGGTGCTATCAAGTACTTCAGTAAGAAACATCTATACCTTGCCCCCTGTTTATGCATTTTTGCTAACACATTACAGCCCAAGCACAAGAACAGGAGTTGGCAAGCGACGACGACTTTGAAGATGACGATGACGATGATGCTGATGAGGACGATGAGGAGGATGATGCCGACGCCAGGCCGGCCAAGAAGCGCAAGGCGTAAACAGACAAAAGGAACGACATCTCTTGGTGATATACGGAACTTTTGGCGCAAAAGCGTAGTGCCTTCTATTACGATCTCGACGAAATGCAATTTATTCGCAGCTCAAGATCACCGGACATCGATTCGGACGGCTTGACAACAATACAGATTACTTGGATTACATCAGAGGTTTGGGTGCTGAATCGCATGCAGCATTGCAATCGAAGCTAGCCGCCAGGTTGACCCTTGGCCTTTTCGGGTCCGATCAACATCGTCCGGTCTTGGCGTCAAGTCCAGACTGCTTCAAAGGGCACCACAAGGATCACAGTTTTAAACAACCATCGACCTTTACTAATGGCGATCAATGACTAATATGCCAATATGGAAATTTATGGATGCTATGGATATGTTTGAATTTTTCATTGAAATCTTTTAACGTGGATCTCTCTCTTCACAAATATTTTGGCGCTTGTGCTAACATCTGGTCACTACCACAACCCAGGTGTTTGACACATCTGCACGGTTCAGGGGTTTCCAAACACTGCCGGCGAGGGTGGTCTCAACCTTATGCCTTACTGTTTCACCCAACCATTTGGATTTCTGCGCGTTGATGAATGAAGACAAACGAACACGACTTTCATACAGAAACATGGTTATTCAATCGTGGCTGTGTTCTACTAATGTCAAAGCCCAGTTCAAGTCTCAGATTCCCTTGGCCTCGCCAAGCATGACAAATTACAGGGTTACTTTCTGGGGGAAAGAGGTCAACGCTCAAGCGCTTTACATACTGCACTAACGAATCGTACAGTATGGATAATCTGGATTTCCAAATTATTCAGATGAAGCAGTTTACACTAATATCAAGAACTGGAGTCTCTTCAACTTTGCCACGTGCTTTCCCCCCTTCCACATGAAATCGAAGGTCAGAAAAAGGCATGGTTCCCACCGTTCTAGGGCACCAGTTGTGTTGTTGAGAGGCTGCTATTTAAGCCCTTTGCACCACTTTCATCCTTTGTCAATCCTCCCGACTCTGCCAATTTTGCCAATGTCTTGGCTCGACACGAACCCCCATCGTGATGGTTCGCCAAACTCAATTTCAGCCAATCTAAGTTCCAATCCGAGCTGTGGCTACGTCGTCACATTGCTCGCACTGCTATTCTTTCCAGCGTTCCTTGTTTTCAATGTCTTGTCCGCATTCTTCTATCCGTCGACCAGATTCTCCCTGATGATCAGTGTGTAGACTTGGTTAATACGCGGAATCTGAGAACAGGTTGTTCTGGCCCGGTTACATTTCTAGATCTCTACCCTTCAAAAAAGGTACCCGTCTAGACCGTCTCAGCGGCCCAAACCCCGGCAGTGGTTCTGACACTATCATGTACACAGTATCCTTTCATCAAAAGCGTTTAGCCAGTACCACGCCAAGGGTTCTCTAGCGGCTCGGGGGTCCCTGTTGCAAGTGCTGGTCCTCATCGGTGTCTATTGTTGGTTCCGTTCTGGCCTTGGCTTGTTGCCTTTGAGACCATTGTAATGCTTGGCTGTTTGGACCCCCAAGTGTTGGTTTTGAGAGTGCTTGTCTCTTGTCTTGCTCCGCGTGCTTCCGTTCGCTTGGCACAGTCTGACTGACTTCCATCCTTCCATCCCATCATCGTCGTTCCAGTTCCTACTCTCGCTAGTTTTATTTTCTCTCCTGTTTTCACTGTCTTTCTAACTAAACGACACAAATACTCTGTGAAAAGAGTATGCCGCTTCTGTTATTGTTGCCAGCGGTCCAACTTCTTGTGTGAAGGCTTTCGCTCATCGTCCCTCGTTTCAGCGCCCCTCTCGTCCTTCGTTATACGCTCCAGTGATCTCGTCGTCCCTCGTTCTCTCGGTTCCCTCTCTCCGCCATGAGGTGGAATGTTGCGGTCTGTGGCCTGATGGGCCTGCTCGCCCAGTCTGCGACGGCCATCACCATGGACATCGACGATACCCGTAAGGATCCTGACTGAACACCCCCTTCGTTCGCGCTCGCGCCTACTAACACGGGCGCTGATCAGAATCGGTCAAGGATGCCGCCGCTACGATAGCATACGGAATGCTGAAATACTACACGGGAAACAACACCGGCGACACACCCGGAAACTTGCCGGATCCTTACTACTGGTGGGAAGCAGGCGCAATGTTTGGCGCAATGGTCGACTATTGGTGGCTTACAGGCGACACATCTTATGTGGAAGTGACGACGCAGGCGATTGTGCACCAAGCAGGCGATGCCCGAGATTTCAACCCCGCCAACCAGTCCCGAACATCATCCAACGACGATGTAGGCTTTTGGACTATCACGGCCATGATGGCGGCCGAGGACGCGTATCCAGACCCACCTGAGGACCAGCCGCAATGGCTGGCGCTCGTCCAGGCCGTTTTCAACCAGATGGCTTCGCGCTGGGACGACTTGAACTGCGGCGGAGGTCTCAGATGGGCTATCAACGACTTTCAGACGGGCAAAGATTATAAAAACTCGTAAGTGGAAGGGAAAGCCAAGAGGCACTCGCGATACTTTGTTTGGGATCCCTTGGAATGTTTCGTCATTTTATAACGACTTTCCTGTGTCGGCATACTGACTTTCCCCCCCCCCTTTCCCCCAGTATCTCCAACGGTATCTTCTTCAACCTTGGCGCACGCCTTGCGCGCTTTACAGGCAACAGCTCCTACGGCGAATGGGCCTCGCGCACCTGGGACTGGGAGCGCTCCATCAACCTGATCACGGACGAATACGACGTCAAAGACGGCGCCCACTTCGACGTGACAACACACGTGTGCCGCAACGACTCCGGGCCACACGTATGGTCTTACAACATCGGCGTCTTCCTCCAAGGCGCGGCCTTCATGTACAATATCTCGACGGGCACCGAACAAGAGACCTGGAAAACCCGCGTGGACGGCCTGTTGGGGGCCGTCGAGGCCAAGTTCCTGACCAACGACACCAAGATCATCAAGGAATGGTACTGCGAATCGGGATTTTCGAACAACGGACACCCGTACCAGTGCAACATTGACCAGCAGACGTTCAAGGGCTATTTGCTGCGGTGGCTATCATCAACTTCGCAAGTCGCGCCCTACACGTACGAACGCATCAATCCCTGGATACGCGCAACCGCCGCCGCCGCCGTCGCTACTTGTACGGGGCCCGTCGGGGCGGCAGCACCGCAAGTAGACAGCGGTGGCATCCAACCAGGCTTCAAGGGCATCGACGGGACCGCGTGCGGGTTCAAGTGGACGGAGACGTTTGACGGGTGGGCTGGTGTTGGCGCGCAGATGAACGCTTTGTCGGCTGTCATGTATACCTTGACGCATACGGGGGTGGGCAATGTGACCAAGGGACCCGTCACGGCGGCGCAGGGCGGCACGTCCAAGGGTGATCCCGGAGCAGGTGTGACGGATCCGGCGTCGAAAGGAGGGTTGGCGTCGCTGAAGGCGATCACGATGGCGGATCGGGTTGGTGCGGGCATCGTGACGGCGATTTTGGCTATTAGCATTGTGGGCGGGAGTGTGTTTTTGACTATTTAAGCAGCCGGGCGTTGGGCTCAGCCAGTGTGGAAAATATCATGATTTTTTTTTTTTGGTGTTTGATGAATGGGGGCACGCAATATAGGCCTCTTTCTTTTATTCCCCCCCTCAGTTCCTTGTTGGGTTTAAACACTGCTTCAAAGCTTTACTTCAGCGTTGGAGGCTTTGCATGATGGTGTGAAGACCGATACTTTTCTGCCTTTTGTTCATTCTTAGCTTCCACCATTGTCCAAAACAGCATGATGTAAGTAAGGCATTCGGCGTTAATTTTGAGTGTACCTCGAGCAACCATTCTCGGAACCTTGTGACTTGAGTGTTGTTCATCGTACCATGCGTCGTTCGATCTTCCGTTCGGAATCGGAGCTGATGGTCTTGCTGTGTGTGCTACAAGCAGAGTTTAAAGGTTCAAGGTGGACAGTGAGTTTCTCGGTAACGACGTAAATAAGGCGGAAGAGATTCAAGTTGTTGATGGTTTTTTAAGGAGTAGCTTCAAGTCCATCATCATGGATAACAGATCTCATCACACAAGATTGGACATTTTGTAACACTTTTCTAGTCTTATCTATCTCTTCGTCTATAACAAACAGGAGTATCATACTCTGGCACTACCTCAGATTCATGTCCATGCTTTTGACACAAGTCCACAGCACAACCGGAACGACCACATTATCATTACCTCCTGTCAACACCGCCTCTGTGAGCGATGCCATGCAAGCACATACCGCCGTCTTCACCACCGTCGTCGACCACGATGCCTTTGGCAATTGAGACAAGGCTTCCCATAACCTCCCGATTATATCCATCGCCAGCTCGCCGACACCCGCGGCCGCACCCTCGCTCGATCCAAAGCCATCATTAAGTTCCGCTTCCCGGGCAACCGTAGAAAGCGTGCCAACAGTCGAGGGCCAGCCCCCAACGAACAACCAAACATTAGCCGTCATCAACCCCACAAACACCGCTGTCGCGAACGCAATGCTTCCCTCAATGCTCTTGCCGCCTCCCCAAAGCCACTTCCTGTGACCCCATCTCCTTCCGATCAGCGAAGCTGCCGCATCGCCTAGTCCCACACATACGACTCCGGCGACCATGCTGATGTCACGGAGTGGGACCTCCCATCCTACTAAGGGGCCTTCTCCGATGCGCGGCAATGCGGCTAAGCTGAGCCATAGAGGGATGGCGCATCCGATAAGGAGGAAGATGTGCGAGATGACGACGGGGCCGCGTAGGTCTCTTCCATCGACGTATGGGGTAAGGAACTGGGCTATAGGCGTAGACAAAGGGGGGAGCTGGCTGGCTCGGAGAAGGTCAACCAGAAGGAAGATGGCGAGAACGATCGACAAAGCCAGAGCGATGTATGTTGGGTCAATGAAGATGGTAGGCAAGAACATGGCGACCATCATGAAATGAAAGACCTTCCGACGTGTATCAACTTCGTAAAAAGGCGACAGGCGGAACACGACGGCGAGGCCGATTACGATGATGACTAGCCAGTAGCCGCTGAGGAGGAGACGGGTATTCGCTTCTCCAAAGACAGACTGCCGGACCAACTGAACCCAGCCGCCCAAGGCGCCGGAAGCCTCATCATCGGCTCGTATCGGGAGGCAGATCCATCTCTCAAGACCCGCCTTGACGACCTCGAGCCTGAACTCGGGAATGTCGCCAAATAGATAACCAAGCGCCCACCCTACGGGCTCGTGTTCAGCCAGAGCGTATCGTCCCACACATTCTCGAACGCCCACCAAAATGACGATCAGTATGCAAGCGTAGACCCAGCCGGCGTACAGCCACTTCCTCACAGCAGCTTGTCCTTGTGTCAAGGAAAAGAAGGCGCGTACACTGGAGGAGGCAGAACGCTTCCGGCGACCCGAAGGAGTGCTGGTTTGGGACCGAACAATGCTGGTGATTCTACCCAGAGAAGGCAATGTATGCCTTCGTGAAGAGGGCTGCTGAGGCGATGGTGGCTCCTGCACATCAAAGCGAACATCCACACCATTGGCTTGACGAAATGAGTTCTCTTCAGCGCTGGTGATGCTATCCGCCCTTGTCCTTCCTTTTAAGAAGCCCAAATCCCAGGAAGGAGTTGCGGAGCTTCGGTTGCGATTATGGCCCGAAACCACATGGTCGGAGTCACTTAATACCTCCTCGTTGTCGGTTTTACCATCATAGTATGTACGTTTGGCGGCTCTGAAGAACTTCCAGAATCCAGATGTACTTCCAGACTTGGAGACAGAAGGACGTTTGAAGCGCCACTTTGGTACTCTAGCCAAAGAGATACCCCATTGGATGACTTTACCACATAGCGCGATAATGCCGAGACCACCTCCCCAAAGAAGTGCCTTCAAAATAACGACCTGGGGAGATCGTGCCAGTAAAAGGACGTTAATGAGGGCCACGGAAAGTAATTGCAATTCTGCAATCAGCAGACTAGTCGTGGTAAGTTGCTGCAAGAGCAAGCATAGCGTCTGGTGTAAGGGATACAGCAAAGTCAGGATCTCGGGATCCGTAGCAGAGCCGCCCGCCACAAGAGGAATGCAAGATAGAAGCCACTGTGTAGAGCTGTACTCTTCCCAGTATCCTGCGCCAGGTATCAACGGTCTTGGTAGCGAGCAGATGCTCAAAATCACGTTTGGCAACACAACACCCTCGACATTTGGTGCAACAAGAAGCGAGACGAACAGCGGTATAAGCTGTGGGTATAACGCCGGAGCCGGATCGAAGGAAGTAGGGACAGAAAGAGGCAACTGTTTCGATGGGTTGCCTCGACGATATGCCCAAGCTACGAGCCTCAGCGGATAAAGAGCAAGTAGTGTCGAGAATAGCCAGCCCAAGGCGGAGAGTTCTGCAGGAAACATGTTAGCTGAGGTTATGACTGTAATAGCAAAAGCTCAACGTACCTTTTCGAAATATTTGAATAAAAGGCTGCACGTCATGATTTGACGCTACCAGCACCCCCTGACAAACAAGCAGCAGTACCTCGGCACCACGGCGAACAACTTCTTTCCTTCTACGAGCTCTCTCGGCTTCACTTCTTTTTAGTCGTATGGAAAAGCCAGATCTCGAGTTCAGGTCGGGGTCTCGTCCATCCTCATCTGGCGCGTTGGGGGAAAGCAAGGGTGTTGATGTACCCGACAGCGGCTCGTTCTTCCCACGTAAGCCCTTGTGTGATCGGGTTTTGGGGGCCGGCAGTCCCTTGAGGAAATGTTCATCGTCTGCTTCGGTACCGCTATCGCTCGCCGGGTTCGAGTTGTGGGCTGATGTAGAGGAGGGCTGACGCTGTGACAGAGCCACGGTCGCTGCTCGGTGTAAGAGTCGTTCGGAGGGCTCGAGGAGCTCGAAGCTCTGACGGTAGTAAGGTTTCGGTGTTCGTGTACCGATGGTAATGTCTTCTTCGGGGTCTTGCTGATCGTATTTGACGTCGGTTGCATGGAGAGTCGGAGAGTGGGATGGGGCTGAAATTGGAGGTCGGAGATGCTCTGACATGGTCGAGGTTTTGAGCTTCGTACTTCGTGGCTCGGGCCTCGGACTACATCGAACGGACTTCGGAAATGGCGAAGATAATGTGCTATGCCCGTCTGGTAGCCAATGGCTTGGATCGGTTGAATGGCGAGCTGTCGAAGTCGTGGTCGAAAGTGTTGTGTGGATGTTGATTGTTGGAGGGAACAAGAAAGTGTTTGGGGACCCTGAATTGCGGTAGTCAACTGTATTTCGGAGAGCTGTCCAGTGTGAAAGGCCACATAATTCGATGTCGAAATCTTTGACTAGACGGATAGCCTGACGCTAAGAATGGTATTTTCAAAGAGGGTTGGAATAATCTGTTGTTTCTGTCGTATATCGTCCACTTTTCTCTGGTCTTTCCAGAAGCTATTCTACACCCACAATCACATGAAGAGAAATGGTCCAGCGAGGGGGAGGGGGGTACTGTAGCTTGGACGCGGCCCGGTCATCGGTGGTTGGGGCAGGCGGCATCCTGTTTTCGAGTCCCACCTTTTGGAAGGTTGACGATCCAGGAACACGGCGTGGGCGACAAGGTTCGGTGCCGGGCTCAGTAGGCATGGGCCACTGTAGCGCCGCTGCAGTGTAGGCCGCCGCTACACTACATACCTCCTACCTACCCAGCCAGTCTTGCCAGTGCTGAGCCATGCAATCTTCAGCCACAGGGCATCCCCATTTCGTGATGTCAAAGACATCAGGTTGTGTCATGGATGGCGGTTGAGGCACCTCCACGGAGCCTGAGGTCAGATTCGTCACGTGTAAGAGGCCGGTTACCTATACTTAAGCCTTATTGCCCAGCAAGGTTTCATGATTGTCAATATCCCAGGAGAACCTAGAACGATCACATCACCCATCCCAACAACTCTCCTACCGCACTACGAGAGGTGTTATATACGTACCTCGACCCCGTGGGGTCGACTCGCCCTGGGGGACATCTCGTCTACTTGGCAGTAATGGGTGATTGCTGAAGTGGCTGCTGATGGCTTTCATGTCAGTCGATGACACCACGTTCGGGGCATCAGTTGCCGTCTCGAGACAGGGTCCGTATAATGGTTTAGTAAGAAAAATGATATTCAGGTTGTGATGACAACCTAAAGTCGTCAGCCTGGAAAGTCCAATGTCCCACACCGCACCTACAATATGGTAGATGTTCTTAAACCTGACCATCAGAAGGCCAAGCAGACCTTCCACGAAGACTCGGGTCGACTCAATCCATACGAGACTAACGGAAACATTCATAGACTCGGAGTGAACCGAGTAAGTAAGCACTACCCTACAGTGCCTCAGCGCCTACCCTGCCCCCGAGCGCCTAGCCGTATACGAGTAGCCGTCGACCGTAATAATGGATGAACCGCCGTATTAGTTCCGACTTTTGAGGCGCTGTGCCCGGCCAATCGGAAGCCGACAGTGTGTCGCCGGCCGCACCGTACTGTAGTCCCCGCCCCAAGGATCCGGGGTTCGGCGGCGGTGCTCTGGGGACGGTTAATGGGGGCATCAGAAAATATGGGTCTGATCACGTGCTAAGTCGATCCGGGTACCTTCTTTGCACAGACAGCTTGATAAGCCTGCAAA